CACCAATCCCCCAGAGAGGTTTTTCACTCCCATTACAGCTCTGTCCTGTGTCTGACAGCCTGGCCCCCCCCAAGGGGCAGCAGCTTCCTCATTCCCGCTCGGAGCTGGAGGAGCTCTCGGTCCATCCAATGCTCGATTCTGAGCTCAGGGGCCGTGGGCTGCCTGCGGGGATATCTGAGGATAGGAAACAGCTGCTGAGCTGAAGTTGCTGGGAATGCCTGAGGCTGTTCTGACTCTGGCAGGAAACAGCTGCTGAGCTGAAGTTGCTGGGAATGCCTGAGGCTGTTCTGACTCGGAGGCAAGGGCTGCACATCCCCAGCAGCAGCAGCAGCTGCTTTCCTCTCTGCCTTTAGGGCTTGCAGCACCTCTATGCTAATTTCCCACAAAGCAGCAGATTTAGGCGCCTCTTTGGCCTCACTCTGGCCAGATGCAACAGAGTCCCACAACATCCGCCCCACAGCTTCCCATGCTGAAATCTCAAAGGCGACCTCTGTGGAGCGGTGGCCGGTGGAAAGTGAAACGCCCAGGCTAGATAAGTGTCCAGCCAACCTCCAGCCAGTCAGGCACTTCCCCAACCCGGAGTCAGGGCTTTGTGCCTAAGGCGATGTCAAGCCTTGCAGACGTGTGGCCGCAGTAGAGAGCTCCGAAGTCGCAGGATGAAATGAAGAGGCGACCCTCAGTTTCTTCAGGGAGGGTGGTTTTATTGGTAGGGAAATGTGGAGTTTTTCGGTGGAAGAAGCTGAGAGCCCCGAGGCAAGGAAAGCCTCGGGTTTTACAGAGGGTGGGAGGGGTGAAAGATAGCAAATCAGAGAGGGATACATTAAGGATTGGCATGATCGGAGAACCCATCAAACACAGCTGCGGGAGGGACCCTGGCCCCTAACCCAATCACTCGACACCCTGGCCCGAACTCTCTAGAAAAAGAGGCAGGGGTGTCGAGTGACAGGCAGGCTGCCAGGGGTGGGGAACAAGAAAGATAACCAAGACAACTGGGGAGGGGTTTGGGGATTGACACAAACTGGTAACAGGGCAGGACCTTCTGAGAGAACAATGGAGGGAAAACTGAACAAGCATTAAACACACCACAACAACCTCTGCTCCTGCTGTGCGATCACGGTGCCAAGCCCAGTAGTCCCTTCACGCTGGAAGCATCGCACTTTTGTTCTCTCTTGGAGAGGATGTGTTGGAGGAGTTTCTGAACACCTTCACTTCCATGTCCAGACCCCATCTCCTGCCCGGCCGCTCACCTTGATCAGGGTGAGATTCAAGTCGGCTACGATTGGGGCTCCAGGACCCTTTCCCTCTCCCTGGGGCAGTGAGGAGCCTTTCGAGCGGTTTCTCCTCTCCTCGAGGGTTGGCTCCAATGCCCTGCGCAGCGGCCAAATCGCCGACCTCGAGTCCCTTTCGTGCTACGACCTTGGGCCTGCCCGCGTTCCCCACCAGAATCGCGGGGCGCGGAGGTTCGGGGCCATCACCCCGTGACCACCAGGATCCTGTGGAGCCAAATTTCTCATCCCTAAAAGGACCTTATTGATCATAAATCCCCGCTGTCCGCGCGTCTCTGGCTAACACACGATTGGTCAATCCCAGCTGTGCACGCGTCTAAATTGGAATGCTGATTGGATCTCCTGATTTTTCGTGTCTTGCTGTGGTCGTCTGGCCCACCCGTGTCTCACTTTTTTCTCTCTTTCCCAAGCCTGCTGAGTCCTGATTGCTCTTCTTCCTGTCTCTCTTTCAAGGCTACACCGACCCCATTTCTGACCACGTCCATTATTCATTGCCGGTGTCCATTGGTGCAAGCAGGCTGGATTGTGCATCGGCTGAGTGCGGCCATCGTCCTGCAAGAACTCCTCCGTCTGCAAAAGACTCCCAACATGGATCAGTGAAAATTCCCAGAAAATTCCCCAGATTCGTCTCAAATCCCATGTGGGGAGGGGACAGGTGACAGCAGCGATGTCCCCGATGATGTCATGGCCCTCAGTGATGTCACAGCGGTGACATCACTGACCCCGCAGCAGCCTCGGGATGTCCTCGATGGCTTTTTGGCACCGCTCGGCCACCGTGCGGCCATCAGAGCCACCAGGGCCACCAGAGCCCCCGGGGCCCTTTGTGAGGAGCCTGCGGATGTCCCCAAGTGTCCCCAGCAGGTGACGCGTGGCCATGCGGGCGCTGGCCTCCCACAGCCGCTCAGCCTCGGCCACCGTGGCCACCGAGGCCTCGGGGACATCAGGGGACGCCTCCTTTGTCCCCTTCAGGGTGGCCTCTATGGCCTCGAGCCGGTGCCACCTCTCAAAGACGAAACACCCGGCTCTTGGACATGCGGCCACCACCAAGGGCTCCAGCGGCCCCAGGGCCACCGGCCAGCGCTGTCCCCTCCTGGTGGCCGCCTCCTCCTGTCTGGCTGCCTCCTCTTCCTCTTCTCTGGCTGCCTCCTCCTCCCTGGCACCCTCTTCCTCCTCTCTGGCTGCCTCCTCTTCCTCCTCTCTGGCTGCCTCTTCCTCCTCTTTGGCAGCCTCTTCCTCCTCCTCTCTGGCTGCCTCTTCCTCCTCCCTGGCAGCCTCTTCCTCCTCTCTGGCTGCCTCCTCCTCCTCTTTGGCAGCCTCTTCCTCCTCCTCTCTGGCAGCCTCCTCCTCCTCCTCTCTGGCTGCCTCCTCCTCCTCTCTGGCAGCCTCTTCCTCCTCCTCCTCCTCCTCTCTGGCTGCCTCCTCCCTGGCAGCCTCTTCTTCCTCTCTGGCAGCCTCCTCCTCTCTGGCTGCCTCTTCCTCCTCACTGGCTGCCTCTTCCTCTTCCTCCTCCTCCTCCTCCTCTTCCTCTTCCTCCTCCTCCTCCTCCTCCTCCTCCTCCTCCTCCTCCTCCTCCTCCTCCTCCTCCTCTCTGGCAGCCTCTTCCTCCTCCTCCTCCTCCTCCTCAGTGCCCACCGCCACCCGGGGCCTTGAGCACAGCCCAATCCGAGGCCACCTCCTCCCTGTCCAGGGCCACCGGTGGCTGCTGGGCCTTGGCCACTGGGTTGTCCCCACCCTGTGTCCCTGCGGGTGACCTCACCCTGGCCTCAGCCAGGCCCAGGCTGAGGCTCCCACCTTGGCCCAGGTGGCCCCGGGGTGGGCCTGAGGGTGGCCAGGGCCTGGCGCAGGGAGGGGACATCACAGTGGCCCGGGGAGGTGACAGCACGGAGGGTCAGGGCCTTGTGGCGGCTCCAGGCACGGCTGCTCAGGGACCCTGGGCACAGGCGCTGCTGCTCGTCCCTCTGCGGCCCGGGCACGGTGGCCGCCACCTCGCCCAGGGTGGCCACCAGGGCCCCCAGAGCCCCGAGCACCGGAGAAGGGGACACCTGGGCAGGGCACAGGGGAGGTGTCAGGGACCTGGTGGCATTTGTGGCCTCCTGCGGTGGCCCCTGTGCCCTCCCGGGGTCCCCTTTGTCCCCTCCCTGGAGGGCTCTGCTGTCCCCTCTGTCCCTTTGCCACCCCCTCATCCCCTCTGCCGCCCTCCTGCTGTCCCCTCTGCCACCCTCGGTCCCCTCCAGCCCTCTGTCACCTCCCCCCTTCCGGTCACGCCCTCCTGTCCCCTCTGTCACCCCCCACGCCGGGATTGTCACATCTTGAGGGGCTCCATGGCCACTGGGGACACTCTGGGGACACACTGGGGACACGCAGGGGACACGCAGGGGGCACTCTGGGGACACGCAGGGGACACTCAGGGGACACTCTGGGGACACTCAGGGGACACTGTGGGGACACTGGGGACACACTGGGGACACTCTGGGGACACTCTGGGGACACTGGGGACACTGGGGGCACTCTGGGGACACTCTGGGGACACTCAGGGGACACTCTGGGGACACTCTGGGGACACACTGGGGACACTGTGGGGGCACTCTGGGGACACGCAGGGGACACTCAGGGGACACTCTGGGGACACGCAGGGGACACACTGGGGACACTCAGGGGACACTCTGGGGACACTCAGGGGACACTCTGGGGACACTCTGGGGACACTCAGGGGACACTCAGGGGACACTCTGGGGACACTCTGGGGGCACTCTGGGGACACTCTGGGGACACACTGGGGACACTCTGGGGACACGCAGGGGACACTCTGGGGACACGCAGGGGACACGCAGGGGACACTCTGGGGACACTCTGGGGACACTCTGGGGGCACTCTGGGGACACTCAGGGGACACTGGGGACACTGGGGGCACTCAGGGGACACTCTGGGGACACTCTGGGGACATGCAGGGGACACGCAGGGGACACTCAGGGGACACTCTGGGGACACTCTGGGGACACTCTGGGGACACTCCAGGTGACAAACAGGCCCAGGTGACAGCTGGGGACACAGGGGAACGTGGCACGGCCAGATGGAGGAAGCAGGAAGAGGTGCCCTCACTGTCCCCCGTGCTCTCCCCACCTGTGGGGCCAGGGCAGGGTCCCCAGTGTCCCCCCAATGTCCCCAGTGGGACCCCGATGTCCCCTGAGTGTCCCCACATGGCCCTGGTGTTGCCCCGATGTCCCCCACAAGCCCCAAGTGTCCCCCAGTGTCCAGCTGGGGACACCAGGGACTCACCGGGGTCCTGTTGGGGACCTTGGGGACACCCCCGGCTCCTTCCCTTGGGGACACCCCCGGCTCCTTCCCTTGGGGACACCGGGGCCACCCTGATGTCCCCTGTCCTGTTTTAGGTTGCCACAATGTCCCTGATGTCCCCGCAGTGTCCCCAACAGGACCCTGGTGTGTCCCCAGTAGGACATCAGGGGACACCTGAGCCTTGTTGGGGACCCCGGGGGGACATTGGGGTCCCCTTGGTGGCCTCGGGGGGGGACATTGGGGACCCAGCGCTGGCCCCACAGGAAGCGGGGGGGGGTGGTGATGTCACCTCTTCCTGCTTCCTCCATCTGGCTGCATCCGTTCCTGTGTGTCCCCAACTGCCACCCGGGCGTGTTTGTCACCTGGAGCGTCCCGAGAGTGTCCCTGGAGCGTCCCCAGAGTGTCCCCAAGGCATCCCCGGAGCGTCCCTGGAGCGTCCCCAGGTGCCATGAAGCCCCTCGAGGTGCGACAGTCCCGGAGTGGTGGGGGAGAGGGGACAGAGGGGACACGGGGGTGACAGAGGGGACACGGGGGGGGCGACAAAAGGCAGTGGGGGACAGAGGGGACATGGGGGTGACAGAGGGGACATGGGGGTGACAAAAGGCAGTGGGGGACAGAGGGGACATGGGGGTGGCAGAGGGGACACGAGGGTGACAGAGGGGACACGGGGGGGGGTGACGAAAGGCAGTGGGGGACGGAGGCGACATGGGGGTGACGGAGGGGACATGGGGGGTGACAGAGGGGACATGGGGGGGTGACAAAAGGCAGTGGGGAATGGAGGGGACACGGGGGTGGCAGAGGGGACACGGGGGTGACCGGGGGGACACGGGGGTGATGGGGGGGACACGGGGGTGGCAGAAGGGACACGGGGGGTGGCGGGAGGGACAGGGGGTCGCAAAGGGGACAGGAGGGCAGAGGAGGAAGGGGCGAGGTGACAGAGAGCTTGGGGGGGACAACGGGAGGGTGGCAGGGGGTGGCAGAGGGGTCAGGGGGGTGACAAAGGCACAGAGGGGACAGCAGAGCCCTCCAGGGAGGGGACAAGGGGCACCCCAGGAGGGCACAGGGGCCAGGCCAGCAGGCCGCAGCTGCCACCAGGTCCCTGACAGCTCCCGTGTCCCCTCCCCAGCTGTCCCCGGCCCTGCTGCAGCCGCAGGACAGCGCTGGGGCCATCCTGGGCCAGCTGCTGGCCACCCTGTCCAGGGAGAACGAGACGCTGCTCGGGTCTGCAGCGAGCCTGTCCCGGGACACGGAGGAATTCACCAGGGAACTCCGGGCCACCCTGTACAGCACTGATGACACCTGGCGGTACTGGAATGTCACCAATGATTGTATTAACCCTCTCACCTTCCTGAGCCAGGCCCTGGCCGCCTATGACAGCACCCAAGGGAGCTCCCAGAAGTATGTGCGATGGCCATCCTTAACATGGTACATGTCACCAAGAAGCCTCAAGGACAGGTGGGCCGAGCTGGCCAAGAAAGCCACCAAGCTCTGCAACACCTGCAGGAATTTGGCCACCGAGGCGGCCGACAGGGCGGCCACCGCCACCGCCTGGGCCAGGGAGCTGCAGGCCATGGCTGCCATGTATGGGACACCTCAGGAACACATGGGGGAGCTGGGTCAGGCCCTGGGCAGGGAGGAGGGGGCTGAGGTGGTGGCCGGGCGTGAAGCCTGGGTGAGGACAGAAGCCAGGGTGGCTGCCAGCGAGGCCACCAGGGCCACCATGGAGAGACAGCGGCTGGAGGCGGCCCTGGGGCTGCTGGAGCACTTGGTGGCCGCGTGTGACGGAGCCACCGCCTTCCCCGAGGAGCTGGAGCGCCTGGCCAAGGACATGGAGGACATCCTGGAGGGGAGAAAGAAGGAGTCCTCCATTGTCCCCGAGGCCTTGGTGGCCAAGGTGGCCGAGGCCGAGCGGCTGTGGGAGGCCAGCGCCCGCCAAGCCGTGGCTCACTTGGTGAGGACAGTTCCAGACGCCATCAAGCTCTGGTTCACTGGTGCTCCCACCTGCCCCAGTGCCTGTGGGGTGGCCGAGCGGTGCCAAAGAGCCACCGAGGACATCCCGAGGCTCCTTCGAACCCCAGAGAGTCCCCAGAGCGTCCCCAGGATGTCCCCATTGAGCCTGGAGCTCCAAGAGGTGCGAGGGGGGGGAAGGGGGGACAGAGGGTGGCAAAGGGGACAGGAGGGAGGGGCAGGAAGGGGGGAGGGGACACGGGGGGGGGAGGGGGCAGGGGGGGATGAGATGGACACAATGGGGAGCAGACACGGGGGGTGTTGGGGGTGGCGGGGGGGGGAAGGGGGGCGGGGCTGGGCGGGGCTCCGAGGGGAGGGGCCATGGGGCAGAGGGAACAAGAGGCTGACAAAGGGACAGAGGGGACAGAGGGGACCCCTCGGGGCAGGGGCCAGCCCAGGACACCACAAGTGCCACCAGGTCCCTGACACCGCCCCTGTCCCCTCCCCAGCTGTCCCCGGCCCTGCTGCAGCCACAGGTCACCGTGGTGGCCACCCTGGGCGAGCTGCTGGCCACCCTGCCCAGGCGGGACGAGGAGATGCTGCTGCCCGAGTCCGCAGTGGAACTGTACCGGGACCTGGAGGAATTCACCAGGAACCTCCGGGTCACCCTGTACTGCACTGAGGGCACCTGGTGGCGCCGCAATGTCACCTCTGATGATGGTGACCCTGTCCCCTCCCTGAGCCAGGCCCTGGCTGCCTGCAGGAGCACCCCAGGGACCACCTGGGATGATGTGACAATGGCAGCCAGCAAGTGGCAGCTGTCGGTGTCTGCGCTTGTGGACAGGTGGATCCGGCTGGCCAAGAAAGCCACCGAGCTCCGCCGCAACTGCAGCTATTTGGCCACCGAGGCGGCCAACAGGGAGGCCACCGCCACTGCCCGGGCCAGGGAGCTGCAGGCCGAGGCTGCCCGTGATGGGACAGCTCAGGAACACATGGGGGAGCTGGGTCAGGCCCTGGGCAGGGAGGAGGGGGCCGAGGTGGTGGCCGGGTGTGAAGCCCAGGTGAGCAGAGAGGCTGGGGGGGCTGCCAGCCTGGTCACTATGGCAAGCAGAAGGAGACAGCGGCTGGAGGCGGCCCTGGGGCTGCTGGAGCGCTTGGTGGCCGCGTGTGACGAAGCCACCGCCTTCCCCCGGGAGCTGCAGTGGCGGCTCAGGGACACTGAAAACGCCCTCAAGGGGACAAATGAGGCGTCCCCCGATGTCCCCGAGGATTTGGTGGCCAAGGTGGCCGAGGCCGAGCGGCTGTGGGAGGCCAACGCCCGCCTGGCCAAGGATCACCTGGTGGGGGCACTTGGGGACATCATCGGCTTCTATTTCGATCGTGGTCCCACCAGTGCCCGTGGGGTGGCCGAGCGGTGCCAAAGAGCCACCGAGGACATCCCGAGGCTCCTCCAAGTCCCAGAGTGTCCCCAGAGCGTCCCCAAGATCTGCCCAGTGAGCCTGGAGCCCCAAGAGGTGCGATGGGGGGCACGGTGGGCAGAGGGGACAGAGGGGACACTCGGGGTACAGGGGGCATGGGGGGTGGGGAAAGGGGCAGTGGGGGATGGGAGGGACAGGAGAGGGCGGCAGGAAGGGGGGAGGGGACAGAGAGGGGGAGGGGAAACGGGGGGGCAGGGGGCAGTGGGGGAGGGGGGCGGCCATGGTGGGGGTTGGGGGTGGCAGAGGGGACAGCAGAGGGGCGGGGCTGGGCGGGGCTCCGAGGGGAGGGGCCATGGGGCAGAGGGAACAAGAGGCTGACAAAGGGACGGAGGGGACAGAGGGGACCCCTCGGGGGCAGGGGCCAGCCCAGGACACCACAAGTGCCACCAGGTCCCTGACACCGCCCCTGTCCCCTCCCCAGCTGTCCCCGGCCCTGCTGCAGCCACAGGTCACCGTGGTGGCCACCCTGGGCGAGCTGCTGGCCACCCTGCCCAGGCGGGGCGAGATGAAGCTTGTGTCCGCAGTGGAACTGTACTGGGACCTGGTGACCTTCACTGAGAGCCTCCGGGTCACCCTGTACTGCACTGAGGGCACCTGGTGGCACCGCAGTGTCACCTCTGATGGTGGTGACCCTGTCCCCTCCCTGAGCCGGGCCCTGGATGCCTGCAGGAGCACCCCTGCAGGGACCACCTGGGACTGTGTGACAATGGCAGCCAGCGAGTGGCAGGGGTTGGTGGCCGTGCTGGTGAACAGCTGGGCCCGGCTGGCCAGGGCAGCCACCAAGCTCCGCAACACCGGCATAGAAGCGGCTGCTGAGGCGCTCGACAGGGCAGCCCTGGCCAGGGAGCTGCAGGATGAGGCTGACATTTATGGGACAGCTCAGGAACATAGGGGGGAGCTGGGACAGGCCCTGGGCAGGGAGGAGGACGCCTATAAACTCGAGGAGAAGATAGAGGCCTGGGTGGCTGCCAGGGAGGCCACAAGGGCCACCATGGTGAGACAGCGGCTGGAGGCGGCCCTGGGGCTGCTGGAGCGCTTGGTGCCCCGCGTGTGACGGAGCCACCGCCTTCCCCCGGGAGCTGCAGCGCAGGGTTGGGGACATCGAGGCCGCCCTGAAGGGGACAAATGAGGCGTCCCCCGATGTCCCCGAGGATTTGGTGGCCAAGATGGCCGAGGCCGAGCGGCTGTGGGAGGCCAACGCCCGCCTGGCCAAGGATCACCTGCTGGGGGCAGTTCCAGACGCCAGCAAGCTCTGGTTCACTGGTGGCCCCACCAGCCCCGGTGCCTGTGGGGTGGCCGAGCGGTGCCAAAGAGCCACCGAGGACATCCCGAGGCTCCTTCAAACCCCAGAGAGTCCCCAAAGTGTCCCCAGGGAGTCCCCAGTGAGCCTGGAGCTCCAAGAGGTGCGATGGTGGGGGGGAGAGGGAGATGGGGACAGAGGGGACAGGAGCGGGGGGGGGCAATGGGGGATGGAGAGGACACGGGGGGGTGGGTGGGGTCAGGAGGTGTCACAGGGGACAGGAGGGAGGGGCCGGAAGGGGGGCGGTGACAGAGGGAGGGAGGGGAAAGGGGGAGGAGCGTGCAGTGGGGAATGGGGGGGACACGGCAGGGAGGGGACACGGGGGCTGGCAGTGGTGGCAGAGGGGACAGCAGAGGGGCAGGGGCTGGGCGGGGCTCTGAGGGGAGAGACAGGGGCTGGAAGAGAGAGGAACTGACTGACAAAGGGGACCCCTCGGTGGCTGGGGCCAGCCCAGGACACCACAAGTGCCACCAGGTCCCTGACACCGCCCCTGTCCCCTCCCCAGCTGTCCCCGGCCCTGCTGCAGCCACAGGTCACCGCGGTGGCCACCCTGGGCGAGCTGCTGGCCACCCTGCCCAGGTGGGACGAGGAGATGATGATGCTGCTCGAGTCCCCAAGGTGCCTGTACAGTGAACTGTTGGGCTTCACCGAGGAGTTCCGCTGCACCCCCTATGGCATTGATGAAGCCTGGTTCCGCCGCAATGGCACCTCTGAGGATCCAACTCCCACGTCCCTGAGCCGGGCCCTGGCCGCCTACAGGAGCACCCCATGGACCACCTGGTTCCATGTGAGGCTGGCGGCCAGCGAGTGGCAGGAGGCGGTGGATGGGCGAGTTGAGATCTGGGCCGACCTGGCCAGGAAAGCCACCAAGCTCCGCAATGCCTGCAGGGCGACGGTCACTGAGCTGACTCACAAGGTGGCCACCAACACCGCCCGGGCCAGGGAGCTGCAGGCCGAGGCTGCCCGTGATGGGACAGCTCAGGAACACATGGGGGAGCTGGGTCAGGCCCTGGGCAGGGATGAGGGGGCCGAGGTGGTGGCCAGGTGTGAAGCCCGGGTGAGCAGAGAGGCCAGGGTGGCTGCCAGCGAGGCCACAAGGGCAAGCAGAAGGAGACAGCGGCTGGAGGCGGCCCTGGGGCTGCTGGAGCGCTTGGTGGCCGCGTGTGACGAAGCCACCGCCTTCAACCGGGAGCTGCAGCGCAGGGTTGGGGACATCAAGGCCGCCCTAAAGGGGACAAATGAGGAGTCCCCTGATGTCCCTGAGGCCTTGGTGGCCAAGGTGGCCGTGGCCGAGCGGCTGTGGGAGGCCAGCACCCGCCTGGCCAAGGATCACGTGGATGGGACTCATAACTACATCTACCAGTTCTATATCAATGATGAACCTGTCAGCCTCAGCGGCCGTGGGGTGGGCCGAGCGGTGCCAAAGAGCCACCGAGGACATCCCGAGGCTCCTTCGACCCCGAGAGCGTCCCCAAGGTGTCCCCAAGGTGTCCCCAGTGAGTGTGGAGCTCCAAGAATTTCAATGGGGGTGGGGGGGCCCGGGAGAGAGGGAGCACTGTGGGGGGAGGGGAGGGAGCAGTGGGGTATAGGGGGGACACGGGGGGTGGGGGGGGTGGCAGAGGGGACAGCAGAGGGGCGGGGCTGGGCGGGGCTCCGAGGGGAGGGGCCATGGGGCAGGGGGAACAAGAGGCTGACAAAGGGACAGAGGGGACCCCTCGGGGGCAGGGGCCAGCCCAGGACACCACAAGTGCCACCAGGTCCCTGACACCGCCCCTGTCCCCTCCCCAGCTGTCCCCGGCCCTGCTGCAGCCACAGGTCACCGTGGTGGCCACCCTGGGCAAGCTGCTGGCCACCCTGCCCAGGCAGGATGAGGAGATGCTGGTGTTGATGTCCCCAGGGTGCCTTTACTGGGACCTGGAGGAATTCACCAATGAGCTCCGGGTCACCCTGTACCGCATTGATGACAGCTGGTGGCACCGCAATGTCACCACCAATGATGATGATCCTCGCACCTCCCATGATGGTGACCCTGTCCCCTCCCTGAGCCAGGCCCTGGCTGCCTGCAGGAGCACCCCAGGGACCGCCTGGGACCGTGTGACAATGGCAGCCAGGAAGTGGCACCGGTCGGTGGCTGCGCTTGTGAACAGCTGGGCCCAGCTGGCCAGGGCAGCCACCGAGCTCCGCAACACCTGCAGGAATTTGGCCACCGAGGCAGCCGACTGGGAGGCCTTCCGCACCAGCTGGGCCAGGGAGCTGCAGGCCAAGGCTGCCCGTGATGGGACAGCTCAGGAACACATGGGGGAGCTGGGTCAGGCCCTGGGCAGGGAGGAGGGGGCCGAGGTGGTGGCTGGGTATGAATCGCAGGTCAGGATAGAGGCCAGGGTGGCTGCCAGCGAGGCCACAAGGGCCACCATGGAGAGACAGCGGCTGGAGGCGGCCCTGGGGGCTGCTGGAGCGCTTGGTGGCCGCGTGTGACGGAGCCACCGCCTTCCCCCGGGAGCTGCAGCGCAGGGCTGGGGACATCGAGGCCACCCTGAAGGGGACAATTATGGGATTCTTTGATATCCCTGAGGATTTGGTGGCCAAGGTGGCCGAGGCCGAGCGGCTGTGGGAGGCCAACGCCCGCCTGGCCAAGGATCACCTGCTGGGGACACTTCAAGACATCATCAGCTTCTATTTTGATCGTGGTCCCACCAGTGCCCGTGGGGTGGCCGAGCGGTGCCAAAGAGCCACCGAGGACATCCCGAGGCTCCTCCAAGTCCCAGAGTGTCCCCAGAGCGTCCCCAAGATCTGCCCAGTGAGCCTGGAGCCCCAAGAGGTGCGATGGGGGGCACGGTGGGCAGAGGGGACAGAGGGGACACTCGGGGGACAGGGGGCATGGGGGGTGGGGAAAGGGGCAGTGGGGGATGGGAGGGACAGGAGGGCGTGGCAGGAAGGGGGGAGGGGACAGAGAGGGGGAGGGGAAAGGGGGGGCAGGGGGGCAGTGGGGGAGGGGGCGGCCATGGTGGGGGTTGGGGGGGCAGAGGGGGACAGCAGAGGGGCGGGGCTGGGCGGGGCTCCGAGGGGAGGGGCCATGGGGCAGGGGGAACAAGAGGCTGACAAAGGGACGGAGGGGACAGAGGGGGCCCCTCGGGGCAGGGGCCAGCCCAGGACACCACAAGTGCCACCAGGTCCCTGACACCTCCCCTGTTCCCTCCCCAGCTGTCCCCGGCCCTGCTGCAGCCACAGGTCACCGTGGTGGCCACCCTGGGCGAGCTGCTGGCCACCCTGCCCAGGCGGGGCGAGATGATGCTGCTGCCCGTGTCCACAGTGAGCCTGTACTGGGACCTGGTGACCTTCACTGAGAGCCTCCGGGTCACCCTGTACTGCACTGAGGGCACCTGGTGGCACCGCAATGTCACCTCCCATGATGGTGACCCTCTCATCTCCCTGAGCCAGGCCCTGGCCGCCTGCAGGAGCACCAGATGGACCACCTGGGACTGTGTGACAATGGCAGCCAGCAAGTGGCAGCGGTCGGTGTCTGTGCTTGTGAAAAGCTGGGCCCAGCTGGCCAGGGCAGCCACCGAGCTCCGCAACACCTGCAGGAATTTGGCCACCCAGGCGGCCGACAGGGAGGCCTTCCGCACCAGGGAGGCCAGGGAGCTGCAGGCCGAGGCTGCCCGTGATGGGACAGCTCAGGAACACATGGGGGAGCTGGGTCAGGCCCTGGGCAGGGAGGAGGGGGCCGAGGTGGTGGCCGGGCATGAAGCCCAGGTGAGGAGAGAGGCCAGGTGGCTGCCAGCAAGGCCACAAGGGCCACCATGGAGAGACAGAGGCTGGAGGCGGCCCTGGGGCTGCTGGAGCGCTTGGTGGCCGCGTGTGACGGAGCCACCGCCTTCCCCCAGGAGCTGGAGCGCAGGGTTGGGGACATCGAGGCCGCCCTGAAGTGGACAAATGAGGGAGACTTTGATATCCCTGAGGCCTTGGTGGCCAAGGTGGCCGAGGCCGAGCGGCTGTGGGAGGCCAACGCCCCGCCTGGCCAAGGATCACCTGCTGGGGGGCCGTTCCAGACGCCATCAAGCTCTGGTTCACTGGTGGCCCCACCAGCCCCCAGTGCCCGTGGGTGGCCGAGCGGTGCCAAAGAGCCACCGAGGACAGCCCAAGGCTCCTTCAACCCCCAGAGAGTCCCCAGAGCATCCCCAGGGAGTCCCCAGTGAGCATGGAGCTCCAAGAGGTGCGAGGGAGGGGAGATAAAGGGGACACTGGGGGATGGGGACGGGAGGGGGCCATGGGGCATGGGGGGGACATGGGGGTGGTGGGAGGGGGCAGGAGGTCACAAAGGGGACAGGAGGGAGGGGCAGGAAGGGAGAAGGTGACAGAGAGAGAGGGAGGGGAAATTGGGGCAGGGGGGCAAGGGGGATGGGAATGCCTGGGGTGGAAGGGGACACTGGGGCTGGCGGGCGGTGTCAGGAGGGACAGCAGAGGGTGACAGGGGCTGCGAGTGTGGTGGCAGGGGGTGGCAGAGGGGACAGCGGGTGGCGTGGCAGGGGTCAGCAGAGGGGACAGCGGGTGGGGTGGCAGGGGTCAGCAGAGGGGAGGAGGGGGGTGACAGAGGGACAGTGGGGGACAGCAGAGCCCTCCAGGAGGGGGACAGAGGGGACCCCAGGAGGGCACAGGGGCTGCCCCAGGAGGCTGTAGGTGCCCTGAGGTCCTGACGCCTCCCCTGTCCCCTCCCCAGGTATCCCCTCCCCAGGTGTCCCCTCCCCAGCTGTCCCAGCTGTCCCCTCCCCAGGTGTCCCCTCCCCAGGTGTCCCCTCCCCAGGTGTCCCCTCCCCAGCTGTCCCAGCTGTCCCCTCCCCAGGTGTCCCCTCCCAGGTGTCCCCTCCCCAGCTGCTGGAGGCTCTGGTGTCCACGGTGGCCACCCTGGGCGAGGTGACAGCCACCGTGACCGGGCCACGCCGGGGCGTGCGGCGCTGTGTGCCCCCGAAGCTGCTGCACGCGGGCCCTGCGGATCTTCACCTGGAGCCTCCGTAAGGCCCTGGACCACCCTGGTGACCCCTCCCATGGCCCCCCGCGATGTCCCCTCCCTGGGCCAGGCCCTGGCCGCCCTCGGGGCCACCCCGGGGGCCACCTGGGCCGGTGTGAGAGCCGCGGGCAGTGCCTGGCGGGAGCTGGTGGCCGCGCGCGAGGGGAGATGGAAGCAGCTGCTCGAGGAGGCCACCAAGCTCCGTGATGCCTGTGAGGACGCGGCCCTCGCCTGGGCCAAGCACCAGCAGGACAAGGCCACCCACAGGGGGACAGCCGGGGACAACCTGGCGGCCACTGCCCAGCAGCTGATGGTGGCCCTGGACAGGGATGAGGAGGCCTCAGCGGGGGCTGCGCACGGTGCCCCGGTGGCGGCGGCCACCAACGAGGCCATGGGAGAGGCTGTGGTGGCCACCAGGCCGGCGAGGGCGGCCATCAGGAGGGGACATTGGGCAGAGGTGGCCCTGGAGCCGCTGCAGCGCTTGGTGGCCGCGTGTGACAAAGCCACTGAGTTTATCAGTTACATGGACTGCCAGCTCAGGGCCATCGAGGCTTGCCCTGGAGGGGACAAAGGAGGCGTCCCCTGATGTCCCTGAGGACTTGGTGGCCGCGGTGGCCAAGTTTGAGCAGCTGTGGGAGGCCGGCGCCCGCCTGTTCAAGCATCACCTGCTGGGGACACTTGGGGACATCCACGACCTCCTCTTGAGTCCCTATGATGGTCGCGGTGGCTCTGATGGCCCTGGCAGCCGCGCGGTGGGCAAGAGGTGCCAAAAAGCCATCGAGGACATCCCAAGGCTGCTTCAGGACAGTGACGTCACTGCTGCGACGTCATCACGGCAGTGACATCATTGGGGACATCGCTGCTGTCACCAGTGCCCTCCCCGTGCAGTCTTTGAGACAGATTTGGGGAATTTCCTGGGAATTTTCCATGATACTGTCCCAAATCCTGCTGGGAATTCCTGGGGTGACGTCACTGGGGACACTCAGGGGGACACTCAGGGACAGGGGTGAATGAGTCCTCTCAAGAGCTTCCAGCTTTCCACTGCGCAGCAGAGCCAGGCCAGGAATTGCAATTTTATAATTGGCTTCTGAAATTCTGCATTGGCTTCTGCAATTCAGTATTGCATTTTGCACTTTTGTATTGCATTTTGCACTTTTGTATTGCATTTTGCACATTGTTATTGATCACCAGCAATTTGGCACGGTATCTGATACTGATATTGGTTATCAATGATTCCTTGTAGCTGCTGGTTGGTGCAATATAATCTCTCCGTTCACATGTGCACCGTGCAGCCCATTAATTAATTAAGGATCCTGTCAGATCCGTAATTAATTAATTAAAGATCTGGCAGCTCTTGTCCCCTGGGAACCAGTGGGTAAGGGCTGCCTGTTCTGTGCCAAAGCCCAGGTGATATCCAGGTGGGAGTGCTCAGCTCCTCCCCCTGGGCGGGGCATCTCCCAATGGCTGATGTGGTTCTGAGTCATGATTGGTCCTTGACTGCCCATCAAACAGAAATGGCCACTGGTGGGAGGCATCTCTGAGTCATGGGCAAGGCATTGATGGGCCCATTAACAGGGGATAAGGACAATACAATGCACTATCACCCTGAGTTTTTAAGTTTTTCTGAGCCTTCTGATGTTTACATTCTTGTTAGGAACTTCCTCACACACTTTATGTAAATAAATTTTTGTTTTACATTCTTTCGAGGAGGAGGAGGAGAAATTTGATGGACTGCTGGATTGCCCAGTGCCATTGGAGAGGCGGCACTGTCACCCTCCAATCCACTGCGACTTTTGGAAATCTATAAACGTTGGAGTCAGAAATTAAAAGTGTTCTTTTTTAGTCGGAAATTAAAAGTGTTCTTTTTTACCTTGGGAGCGTTAGCATCGTGTTATTTCCTGTCCCGTAGCAACATCTGGCGGCCGCCATGCGTGGAACAGCCATGGGTGAGGTCCAATGGTTTAACTCCCCCTCCGTGTTTTGGCGCGGTGACTCTGAGCCCTTTGGCACTTTGGCCGCCACTCCTGTGGTAAGGGCAAATCCCGTGGGGTTCATGGAGGAGTCTCTGGTTTTGGACCTCTGGAAGGGTCTCCTGGAGCAGAAACGGGTTTCCATTTCCTGGAGTGATTTTGAGAGATTGTTTCTGTGGGCCAGGGAGCGAGGGGGTTTGTTTTCCAAAGCTGCAGAGCCATTCCCTAGGGAGGCGTGGTCTCTCCTGGGAGGCCAAGCTCTTTTTGCTGATTGCACGATGGACGTGGGATCACTGCTGGTGCAGTGGAAAACGTTTGACGCGATTTGGCGCAGGGCTGGGTTCTGTGGCTCTCGGCGTTCCCAGGGGGACCCTTCTGTCTCGGATGTGGATGAGGGGGTGTAAAAGCAGAAATGAGAGATGCAGGACTCCAGGCAGCTCTTCAAGGTGCAGTTCATTCCATCCAAGGTGTTACAGCATTCCAGGGTCATGGCTGACAGAGCTGTGCCCACATCTGTCAGCTCCAGCTGCAGGCAGGCCTGGACACCCGCGTTCCTCACTCAGGCTCTGACTGACGGTGCCCCACATTGGGCGCCACCGTAAGAGCCTAAATGAGAGATGTGGGACACCAGGTGGCTCTTCAAAGTGCAATTCATTGTTTCCAAGGTGTCACAGCTGCCCCGGGGTCATGGCTGACAGAGCTGTGCCCACATCTGTCAGCTCCAGCTGCAGGCAGGCCTGGACACCTGCATCCCTCACTCAGGCTTTTACTAATGGGGCCCCACATTGGGCGCCACCGTAAGAGCCTAAATGAGGGATGCAGGACTCCATGTGGCTCTTCAAAGTGCAGTTTATTCCATCCAAGATGTTACAGCATTCCAGGGTTGTGGGCGACCGCAACCCACAGCTGTGTGCCCACAGCTGTCAGCTCCAGCTGCAGGCAGGCCTGGAGTTCCACATTCCTCACTCAGGCTCTCAGTATTGGTGCCGCACCTTGGGCGCCACCGTAAGAGCGGAAATGAGGGATGTGGGATTCCATGTGGCTCTTCACAATGCAGTTTATTACATCCAAGGTGTTACAGCTGCCCAGGGTCATGGGTGACAGAGCCTGTGCCCACATCTGTCGGCTCCAGCTGCAGGCAGGCCTGGAGACCCGCATCCCTCACTCAGGCTCTCAGTAATGGTGCCTCACATTGGGCGCCACCGTAAGAGCAGAGATGAGGGACGCAGGACTCCATGTGGCTCTTCAAAATGCAGTTTATTACATCCAAGGTGTTACAGCATTCCAGAGTCATGGCCGACAGAGCTGTGCCCACAGCTGTCAGCTCCAGCTGCAGGCAGCCCTGGAGTTCCACATCCCTCATTCAGACTCTCAGGAATGGTGCCTCACGTTGGGCGCCACCGTAAGAGCGGGAAATGAGGGATGTGGGACTCCATGTGGCTCTTCAAAGTGCAGTTCATGGTTTCCAAGTTGTTACAGCTGCCCAGGGTCATGGGTGACAGAGGCTGCACCTACAGCTGTCAGCTCCAGCTGCAGGCAGCCCGGGGACACCCGCATCCCTCACTCAGGCTCCCACAGGACCCCTTTTCTCTGGACAGAAATCCTGTCCTTGGCCCCAGTTCATGTCACGATCCCTGGGGCAGGTGGGGTTGTGATGGTTCCGTTTCCAGACCCCAGACGTGCAAAAGGCAAACAGCAGGGGCTCTCAGTTTAATCACAAGCCCTGGGCACACAGGGGATATTCCTGTGTCTGCTCCAGGGTGCCCTCACCCTCAGGGCCGCACTGACTCTGACCCTCATGCGTGGAGGAATTTTCCCAGACTTCAAGACAGACTGGAACCCACAAAAGTGTGAAATAGATTCCAGAGAGCGGTGCAGGTGCATCACTGGGTGAGAAATTGAGGTTTTGGGGTTTTTAGTGTGTTGTGGATGGCAGCAAGATGGAGGGCACAGGGCGTGGTCCTGGGTTTCTTCTTCGTGCTGCTTCTTCCTCCTTCTCCATGGGTTTGGGTGGCATTTTGTAATTGGGCAGAGAATTCCCCGTTGGGGGCTCTGTGGGATCAGTGATTGGGTTAAAAGGGAAAATAACCCAGGTGTCAGCTCGGGCTCTGTGGGATCAGTGATTGGGTTAAAAGGGGAAATAACCCAGGTGTCAGCTCGGGCTCTGTGGGATCAGTTCTTGGGTTAAAAGGGGAAAATAACCCAGGTGTCAGCTCGGGCTCTGTGGGATCAGTGATTGGGTTAAAAGGGAAAATAACCCAGGTGTCAGCTCGGGCTCTGTGGGATCAGTGATTGGGTTTAAAAGGGGAAATAACCCAGGTGTCAGCTCGGGCTCTGTGGGATCAGTGATTGGGTTTAAAAGGGAAAATAACCCAGGTGTCAGCTCTCAGTTGGACACTTTAGTCTCAAAGGACCTTGTGACGAGAGATTGTCGCCATTTTGTGCCTTGTCAATGACAGGCTGCGGATTGTAGCGAAGATAAGAAGATAAGAAGATAAGATAAGAAGGTAAGATAAGAAGATAAGAAGATAAGAAACGATGAGCACCGGACCCCCAAACATGAGTTACCTGCCTCAGGTGCCTCCAGGCCACACCCACAGAGACCCACGAGTGCAAGCCTGCGCTCCCAGGCCACGCCCACACCCTTCCCATTGGCCACCGCCCCCTGGGCCCCGCCCATTTTCCTGCACATCATTCATTTCCCTCCAGACCCGACCCCCTTTCCCACGCGTCATTCATTCATTCCCCTCCAGGCCCCGCCCCTTTCCCACACATCATTCATTCCCCTCCAGGCCCCGCCGCTTTCCCACACATCATTCATGTCCCCCAGACCCTGCCCCTTTCCCACACATTCATTCCCCTCCAGGCTCCGCCCCTTTCCCACACTTCATTAATTAATTCCCCTCCAGGCCCCGCCCCTTTCCCACACATCATTCATGTCCCCCAGACCCCACCCCCTTTCCCACACTTCATTCATTCCTCTGCCGACCCCCGCCCCTCTCTCACACTTCATTCATTTCCCTCCAGGCCCCGCCCCTTTCCCACACATCATTCATGTCCCCCAGGCCCCGCCCCTTTCTCACACTTCATTCATTTCGCTCCAGGCCCCGCCCCCTTTCCACACCCCATCCATTGCCCGCCCCTTCCTGCACTCCCAGGCCACACCTATCCTCTTCCTATTGGTCGACACTCCCTGGGCCCCCCCCTATTTTCCCCACACATCATTAATGTCCCCCAGACCACGCCCCTTTCCCCATACTTCATTCATTCATTGCCCTCCAGTCCCCGCCCATTTCTCACAGTTCATTCATGTCCTGCTGGCCCCGCCCCTTTCTGACCCTTCATTCATTTACCTCCAGGCCCCTCCCCTTTCCCACACTTCATTCATTTCCATCTAGACCCCGCCCCTTTCCACACCCCATTCATTGCCCACCCCTTCCTGAACTCACAGGCCACGCCCCCTCCTCTCCCCCATTGGCCACCGCTCACGGGGCCCCGCCCATTTTCCCACGCTCCCATTCCTCACCCTTTCCAATCCCCGCCCCCCTCCCCGCTCCGCCGCTCCCCATTGGCTGCCCCTTGGCGCCCCGCCCCACTGTGGGCGTGGCTACAAGTCTGATTTGGTGTTGATTGACAGGCTCGGGGGGTGGAGCCACTCTGGCCCCACCGGGAGGGGGAGGGGTCAGGACGATCCCCCAGGTGTTGGTCACGCCCCCTTTTGGCCCTCACCCCTTCAGGCCCCGCCCCTCCCAATTCCCCATTCTGCCTTCTGGCCCCGCCCCCTCCCAAAGCCCTGCCCCCCAAATGAGCTTTGGCCACGCCCTCTGTTTGATTTTTATCAAGGGAAACCAAAAATCGCCACAAATTGACCCAAAATTACAACGTCCGGAGGGGGGCGGGGCACAGACACACCTGTGGGGGCACAGACACACCTGTGACATCACAGGGGAGGGGCCAGGTGGGATTTTGGGGGTCCCAGGTGGGGTTTCAGGGGTCCAGGTGAGTTTTGGGGGTGTCCAGGTGTTCCTGGGTGGATCCAGGTGTTGATGGGGGGGTCCCAGGTGGATTTTGGGGGGGTCCCGAGTGTGTTTTTGGGGGTCCAGGTGAGATTGGGGGGTCCCAGGTGAGTTTTGAGTGGGTCCAGGTGACTTTTCGGGGTGGGCTCAGGTGTTCCTGGGTGTGTCCAGCTTGTTTTTGGATGGTGCAGGTGAGTTTGGGGTGTCCCAGGGGTTCCTGAGGGCTCCAGGTGTGCTCAGGAGGTATCCAGGTGTTCCTGGAGGGTTTCAGGTGTCCCCAAAGCAGTTCCAGGGGTTCCTCTGTGGATCCAGGTGTTTTTGGGGTTCCAGGTGTTTTTGGGGTTCCAGGTGTGAGGGTTCCAGATGCCCAGGTGTGGGTGGGACCCGGTTATCCAGGTGTGACGTCACCTGGTTATGACATCACCCACACAGGTGTGACGTCACCAGCTCACCTGGCCATGATGTCACCCTGCCCAGGTGTGACATCACCTCCCCACCACCCCCCACCAGGTGTGACGTCACCTGGTTATGACATCACCCACCCACCCAGGTATGACGTCACCAGCTCACCTGGCCATGACGTCACCTGCCCACACCCCCCCTCCTGCCCAGGTGTGACATCACCCAGGTGTGTGACCGCCAGGCTCACCTGGGTGTGACATCACCAGCGTACCCAGCTGTCCCCCGCCCCCCTCACCTGTCCAGCCCACCCAGGTGTGATGTCACCAACCCCGCCAGGTGTGACATCACAAACCCCTCCAGGTGTGACATCACCTGCCCCAGGGGTGACTTCACCTGTCCAGGTGTGCCAGGTGTCCCTCAGGTGTCACCCAGGTGTCCCCTCAGGTGTCACAGGTGTCACTCAGGTGTCACTCAGGGGTCACTCAGGTGTCACCCAGGTGTCCCTCAAGGGTCACTCAGGTGTCACTCAGGTGTCACAGGTGTCACTCAGGTGTGCCAGGTGTGACCATACCTGTACCCAGGTGTCACAGGTGTGACAGTATCTGTGCCAGGTGTGCCAGGTGTGTCACTCAGCTGCTACAGGTGTCACTCAGGTGTGCCAGGTGTGACTGTACCTATGCCCAGGTGTCACTCAGGTGTGTCGGATGTCACAGGTGTGACAGTATCTGTATTCAGGTCAGGTGACACTCAGGTGTCACTCAGGTGTCACTCAGGTGTCACTCAGGTGTGCCAGGTGTGACAGTATCTGTACATAGGGTGTGCCCAGGTGTGACAGGTGTGACATTATCTGTGTCCAGGTGTCACTCAGGTGTCGCAGGTGTCCCCGCACAGGCGCCCCGGTGCCTGATGAAGCTGTCCCTCCACATGAAGGACCTGTCGCAGGTATGGCAGATGTCACAGGTGTGTCACACAGTGTCACAGGTGTCACTCAGGTATCCCAGGTGTGTCACTCAGGTGTCTCAGGTGTCCCCGCACAGGTGTCCCGGTGCCTCACGAAGCTGTCCCTCCACATGAAGGACCTGTGGCAGGTGTCACAGGTGTCACTCAGGTGTCACTCAGGTGTGTCACTCAGGTGTCCCCGCACAGGCGCCCCCGGTGTCTGACGAAGCTGTCCCTCCACATGAAGGACCTGTGGCAGGTGTGGCAGGTGTGGCAGGTGTGTCACTCAGGTGTGTCACTCAGGTGTGTCACTCCAGGTGTCCCCCGCACAGGCGCCCCGGTGTCTGACGAAGCTGTCCCTCCACATGAAGGACCTGTGGCAGGTGTGGCAGGTGTGGCAGGTGTGGCAGGTGTGTCACTCAGGTGTCACTCAGGTGTCACAGGTGTGTCACAGGGTGTCACAGGTGTGTCACTCAGGTGTCCCCCGCACAGGCGCCCCCGGTGTCTGACGAAGCTGTCCCTCCACATGAAGGACCTGTGGCAGGTGTGGCAGGTGTCGCAGGTGTGTCACTCAGGTGTCCCCAGGTGTGTCACATGTCCCAGGTGTGTCACAGGTGTCACTCAGGTGTCCCCGCACAGGTGCCCCGGTGCCTGACGAAGCTGTCCCTCCACATGAAGGACCTGTGGCAGGTGTGGCAGGTGTCACAGGTGTCACAGGTGTGTCACATGTCCCAGGTGTGACAGGTGTGTCACTCAGGTGTCCCCGCACAGGCGCCCCGGTGTCTGACGAAGCTGTCCCCTTCCACATGAAGGACCTGTGGCAGGTGTGTCACATGTCCCAGGTGTGACAGGTGTGTCACTCAGGTGTGACAGGTGTGTCACATGTCCCCAGGTGTGTCACTCAGGTGTCACTCAGGTGTCACTCAGGTGTGTCACTCAGGTGTCCCCGCACAGGCGCCCCGGTGTCTGACGAAGCTGTCCCTCCACATGAAGGACCTGTGGCAGGTGTGGCAGGTGTAGGGCCGCAGCCCCGTGTGTGTTTTCATGTGCTCCGTCAGGTGATGTTTCATCTTGAAGCGCTTGCGGCACAGGGCGCAGGTGAAGGGCCGCAGCCCCAGGTGCATGTTCACGTGCCGCTGCCGCATGCTGCGGTGCGAGAACGCCTTCCCGCAGTGGCACACGAACACCTGCCCGGCCTTGCCCGCCTTGCCCGCGCTCACCTGGCGCGCAGGTACCGCCGGGGCGGGGCCGGGGGCGGGGCCGGGGGCGGGGCCGGCCCGGGCCGCTCTGCGGGCGGTGCCGGGGGGTGGCGATGCGGGGCGCTTCTGGGCGGGATTCCCGCGGTTTCCTCTGGAATTCCGGCGATTCCATCCCGAATTCTGCCCGTTCTGCCCAAAATTCCCGCGGTTTCCTCTGGAATTCTGCCCGTTCTGCCCAAAATTCCCCGCGGTTTCCTGCGGAATTCTGCCCGTTCTGATCGAAATTCCTGCATTTTCCTCCGGAATTCCAGCGGTTCCGTCCCGAATTCTGCCCGTTCTGCCCAAAATTCCCGCATTTCCCTCCGGAATTCTGCCCGTTCTGCTCAAAATTCCCGCATTTTCCTCCGGAATTCCGGCGGTTCCGTCCCGAATTCTGCCCGTTCTGCCCAAAATTCCCGCGTTTCCCTGCGGAATTCTGCCGGTCCTGCTCGGGATTCCCGAATTCTCCTGCGAAATTCCCGAGCTTCTGTGCGGAATTCCGTGCGGGATTCCTTTCATTCCCGTTGAAATTTCTTCCTTTTCGCCGGTCCCGGTCAAAATTCCCTCGGTTTCCCGCGCCGGAGTCTGCCCGTTCTGTGCGAGATTTTGTGCGGGATTCCTTTGATTCCGGCGAAAATTTCCTCGTTTTCGAGCGGAATTCCGCTGGTTCCAGGCAAAAATTCCCGCGGTTCCCTCCCGAATTCTGCCGGTTTTTGGTCAAAATTCCCGAATTTTCCTGCGAAATTCCCAAAGTTCTGTGCGAAATCCCTCCGATTCGGTTAAAATTCCTTCATTTTCGTGCGGAATTTCGCCGGTTCCCATCAAAATTCCCCCGGTTCCGTCCCGAATTCTGGCGGTTCTGCTCAAAATTCCCGAACTTCCGTGCGGAATTCCGCCGATTCCAGTTAAAATTCCCTCGTTCTCGTGCGAAATTCCAACGGTTCCAGTTAAAATTCCCTCGTTCTCGTGCGAAATTACGATTCCGGTCAAAATTTCCTCGTTTTCGTGCAAAATTCTGCCGGTTCTGTGCAAAATTCCTTCGTTCTCACGCAAAATTCTGCCGGTTCTGTGCACGATCCCCTCGTTTCTTTGTGAAATTCCAGCGTTTCCGAGCAAAATTTCCTCATTTCCGAGCGAAATTCCCTCATTTCCGTGCGGAATTCCGTGGATCCCCTCGCTGCCCCTTTTCCCGGCTATTCCCAAACCCCATTCCCGAATTTTCCCGGCACCCCATTCCCAGATTCTCCCGGTTCCTCCCGGATCCCATTCCCGAATTTTCCCAGCCATTCCCGGTTCCCATTCCCGAATTTTCCCGCGATCCCATCTCCAAATTTTCCCGCGATCCCATTCCCGAATTTTCCCTCCCCTCCCCGCCATTCCCGCCCGCAATTCCCGAATTTTCCTCCCCCGCCGGGGGCTCCTCCTCATCCTCCTCGCAGGTGAGCACCAGGTCCTGCTGCAGCCAGCGCCGCTTGACCAAAACGCGGCGGTTTTGGCCAAAACGGGGCCGGGATCCGGGGGGAATGGACCTTCCTCGCTCCCCTCCTCCTCCTCCTCCTCCTCCTCCTGTCCCCTCCCCGTGTCCCCTGCCCTGTCCCCATGTCCCCTCCCGCGTCCCCTGCCCGTGTCCCCTCCCACGCCCCCTCCCCTGTCCCCGTGTCCCCTGTCCATGTCCCCATCCCCGTTCCCACGTCCCCCTCCCCTGTCCCTGCCCGTGTCCCCTCCCATGTCCCCGTGTCCCCTCTGCTCTCCCCGTGTCCCCTCCCCGGTCCCTTCCCCTGTCCCCATGTCCCCATCCCCTGTCCCCTCCCCTGTCCTTGTCCCTGTCCCCTTCCCCTGTCCCGTGTCCCCTCCCGTGTCCCTGTCCCTGTGTCCCGTGTCCCATCCCCGTGTCCCCTCCCCTGTCCCCATGTCCCCATGCCCTGTCCCCGTCCCCTCCCTGTCCCTGTCCCCATGCCCCCATCCCGTGTCCCTGTCCCCTTCCCCTGTCCCATGTCCCCCTCCTTGTGTCCCCTCCCCCGTCCCCATGTCCCCATGTCCCCATCTCCTGTCCCTGTCCCCTCCCCTGTTCCTGTCCCCATGTCCCCATCCCCTGTCCCCATATTCCCCTCCCCTGTCCCTGTCCCCCTCCCCTGCCCCGTGTCCCCGTCCCGGTGTCCCCTCCTGTGTCTCCATGTCCCCATGTTCCCATGCCCTGTCCCTGTCCCCTCCCTGTCCCTGTCCCCCTCCCCTGTCCCACTTCCCCTCCCGTGTCCCCGTCCCTGTGTCCCTCCATCCCCTGTCCCCATGTCCCCATGTCCCCATGCCCTGTCCTTGTCCCCATGTCCCCATGCCTTGTCCCTGTCCCCTCCCCTGTCCCTGTCCCTCTCCCCTGTCTCCATGTCCCCCTCCCCTGTCCCCATGTCCCCTCTCCTCTCCTCGTGTCCTCGTCCCTGTGTCCCCTCCCATGTCCCCTCCCCTGTCCCCATGTCCCCTCCCCACGTGCGCGACGACGACGACGAAGACGACGATGACGACGACGATGACGATGACGATGACGATGCCGATGATGCCGATGCCGATGCCGAAGGCTGGCGCAGCAGCTCGGCGCACTTGTCCACGATGTGCCACATCTGCAGCGCGCTGCCCACGGTCAGCAGCCCCAGCAGCTCGGCCCGGCACAGCGAGAGCCGCCCGGTGTAGGCGCAGCCCAGGACGCCCGCGAAGGCCGCGGGGTCCATGGCGCCGGGCAGCTCGATGGAGTCCAGGTTCTTCAGCAGCAGCTGGTCGTGGAAGAAGGGCGAGGACGCGGCCAGGACGGCGCGGTGCGCGCGGAACTCGCGGCCCTGGACGCGGATGGAGACGTCGCAGAGCTGCCCCTCCAGGCGCTGCCGGTTGAGGCCCGAGAGCAGCGCCCGAGGCACCTGCGGGAACTCCACCTGCAGCAGCGGGGACGCGGAGGAGGAGGAGGAGGAGGAGGAGGAGGAGGAGGAGGAGGAAGGAGGGGGGGGGAGGGGGGGAGCAGGGCCGGGGCATGGCGGAGGAGAGGGGGAGGGGCTGGGGGGGGAGGGGAGGGGTCAGGAATTGGTTCCGTGCCCCCGGCTCCAGGTTCTGGCACAAACGCTCCTAATTCGGGGCCGAAGCTCCTTGGTTCTGGGATAAAATCACCCAGTTCTGGCCCAAATCCCACTAATTCCGGCCCAAATCCCATTAATTCCAACCAAAATCCCATTAATTCCAACCAAAATCCCATTAATTCCAGCTCAAATCCCATTAATTCCAACCAAAATCCCATTAATTCCACCTCAAATCCCTTTAATTCTGGCCCAAATCCCTTTAATTCCAACCAAAATCCCATTAATTCCAACCAAAATCCCATTAATTCCGGCCCAAATTCTGGCTCAAATCCCATTAATTCCACCTCAAATCCCATTAATTCCGGCCCAAATCCCATTAATTCCAACCAAAATCCCATTAATTCCACCTCAAATCCCATTAATTCCGGCTCGAATCCCATTAATTCTGGCTCAAGTCCCTTTAATTCCACCTCAAATCCCTTTAATTCCAGCTCAAAACCCATTAATTCCAACCAAAATCCCATTAATTCTGGCCCAAATCCCATTAATTCCAACCAAAATCCATTAATTCCAACAAAAATCCCATTAATTCCGGCCCAAATCCCATTAATTCCAGCCCAAATCCCATTAATTCCAGCCAAAATCCCATTAATTCCAACCAAAATCCCATTAATTCCAGATCAAATCCCTTTAATTCCACCTCAAATCCCATTAATTCCAGCTCAAAACCCATTAATTCCAACCAAAATCCCATTAATTCTGGCCCAAATCCCATTAATTCCGACCAAAATCCCATTAATTCTAGCTCAAATTCCTTTAATTCCGGCCCAAATCCCTTTAATTCCAGCTCAAATCCCTTTAATTCCAACCAAAATCCCATTAATTCCAGCTCAAATCCATCAATCTCAACCAAAATCCCCCTGATTTTGTATCAGATCCCTTAATTCTGACCCAAATCCCATTAATTCCAGCCCAAATCCAATTAATTCTGTATCAAATCCCTTAATTCCAACACAAACCCCATTAATTCCATCTCAAGTCCCTTAATTCTGGTCCAAATCCCATTGATTTCAATACAAATCCCTTAATTCCAACCAAAATCCCATTAGTTCCAACAAAAATTCCTTATTTCTACCCCAAATCCCTGAATTCCAGCTCAAATCCTTTAAATCCAATACAAATCCCATTAATTCTGTACCAAATCCCATTAATTCCAAACCAATCCCTTAATTCTACCCAAATCCTTTAATTCCATCTCCAATCCCATTAATTCCAACCCCAATTCCCTGAATTCTGGTTTAAATCCTTTAATTCTGATCAAAATCCCACTCATTTTGTATCAAATCCCATTAATTCCAGCCAAAATCCCTTAATTCCAGCCAAAATCCCTTAATTCCAACCCAAATCCCTTAATTCCAACCCAAATCCCATTAATTCCAGCCAAATCCCACTAATCTCAACCAAAATCCCACTCATTTTGTATCAAATCCCCCAATTCTGACCCAAATCCCTCAATTCCAACAAAAATCCCATTAATTCCAACCCCAGTCCATTAATTCTACCCCAAATCCCCCAATTCTGGCTCAAAGCTCGTTGGTTCTGTGATAAAATCCCAAAATTCTGACCCAAATCCCATTAATTCAGGCCCAAATCCCACTAATTCTACCCAAAATCCCACTCATTTTGGATCAAATCCCTTAATTCCAAAAAAAATCCCATTAATTCCAACGAAAATCTCATTAATTTCAACTCAAATCCCAAAATCCCAAAATCCCTTTAATTCCACCCCAAATCCCTGAATTCTGGTTTAAATCCTTTAATTCTGATTAAAATCCCATCCATTTTGTATCAAATCCCATTAATTCCAACCCAAATCCCATTAATTCCAACCGAAAATCCCTAATTTTGCCCCAAATCCCATTAATTCTGACCCAAATCCCATTAATTCATTCTAATCCCAATTCCCCAAATTTGGCCCAAATCCTTCAATTCTGCCCCAAACCCCATTAAATTCTCACCCAGATTTTTATTTTTTACTTCTGCCCCAAATCCCATTAAATTCCACCCCAAATCCCATTAATTCCGCCTCAAATTCCCAAAATTCTGCCCCAAACCCCTTAATTCCGACCAAAATCCCAATAATTTAACCCAAATCCCATAAATTTGGCCCAAATCCCAATAATTCTCCCCAAAATCTCGTTCGTTCCACCCCAAACCCCTGAAATTTTGCCTCAAATTCCTTTAAATCTTCCCAGATTTGTTAATTCCCACCCAAATTCCCTTAAATCCCCCCAAAATTTCAATTTTTGGTCCTAAATTTTGCTTAAATCCTGGAAATCTCCCATAAATTCTCCAAATCCTGACTGAAATCCATAAAATTAAAAAAAAAAAAAAATCCTTTAATCCTGACCCAAATCCCCAAAAATTCCCATAAAATCCCGGGAAATTCTCACCCCAAAACTCCAAAATCCCCAAAATCTCCCCCAAATTTTCCCCCAAAACCCCAAAAATTCCTCCCAGCACCCCCCAAAATCCCCTCAAGGATCCCTCAAGGATCCCTCAAATTGCCCCAAATCCCCCCAAAATCCCCTCAGGACCCCAAAAAATCTCTGCAAATCCCCCAAAATCCCCCAATCTTCCCCAAAAATCCCCCTAGAGCCCCCAAAATTCCCCCAAATTTCCCCCAAAATTCCCCCAATTTTCCCCAAACCCAAAATCTCCCAAATCTTCTCCAGGACCCCCCCAAATCCCCCAAATTTTCCCCCCAAATCTTCCCCAGGACCCTCCAAAATTCCCCGAAATCCCCCCCAGGTCCCCCTAAAACCGAACCCAGACCCCAAAAAAAATTCCCCAAATCCCCCTCAGGACCCCCCAAAATCCCCCAAATTCCCCCAAAATCCCTCAAGGATCCCCCAAATCTTCCCCAATTTCCCCCTCTGACCCTCTCAGGACCCCCCAAAATCCCCCCAGGACCCCCCAAAATCTCCCAAATCCCCCCCAGGTGCCCCAAAACCGAGCCCAGACCCCACAAAATCCCCCAAAATCCCCCTCAGGACCCCCTAAAATCCCCAAATTCTCCCCAAAATCCCCCCCAGATCCCCCCCAGGTGCCCCAAAACCGAACCCAAACCCCACAAATCCCCCCCAGGACCCCCAAAATTCCCCCAATTCCCCCAAAATCCCCCAAATTCGACCCCCCCCAGACCTCAGGACACCTCAAATCCTCCCAAACCCCCCCAAATCCCCCTCAGGACCCCCCAAAATGCCCCAAATTCCCCCAAGCTCCTCCAAATTCACCCCCCAGACTCTCTCAGGATCCCCAAATTTCCCCTAAATCCTCCCCAGGACCCCCCAAAATCCCCCCAGATCTCCCCAGTAACCCCCAAATCCCTCAAGGATCCCCCAAATCTTCCCCAAATCCCCCCCAGGACACCCCAAAATCTCCCAAATCTCCCCCAGGTGCCCCAAAACCGAGCCCAGACCCCACAAAATCCCCCAAAAACCCCCTCAGGACCCCCCAAAATCCCCCAAATTCCCCTCAAATTCCTCATGGATCCCTCAACCCCCCCCAGGACCCCCAAAATTCCCCCAATTCCCCCCAAAATCCCCCAAATTCGACCCCCTCCCGACCTCAGGACGCCTCAAATCCTCCCAAACCCCCCAAAATCCCCCTCAGGACCCCCCAAAATGCCCCAAATTCCCCCCAAATCCCTCATGGAACCCCCCAGATCCCCACCAGGTGCCCCAAAACCGAGCCCAGACCCCACAAAATCCCCCCAAATCCCCCTCAGGACCCCCCAAATTCTCCCCAAAATCCCCCAAATCCCTCATGGACCCCTCAAACCCCCCCCAAGTGCCCCAAAACCCCCTCAGGACCCCCCAAAATCCCCCCAAGCCCCTCCAGGATCCTCCGGGACCCCCAAATCCTCCCCAAATCCCACCCAGGCCCCCCCAAATCCCTCTCAGACCCCCCCAAATCCCCCTCAGGACCCCCCAAATCCCCCCCTTTGCCACCCGGGACCCCCAAATCTCCCCCAAATCCTCCTCAGGACCCCCCAGGACTCCCCAAATCTCCCCCAAATCCCCCTCTTGCCAGCCGGGACCCCCAAAATCCTCCCCAAATTCCACCCATGACTCCCAAAATCCCCCCAAGATTCTCCCAAAATCCCTTCCAGACTCCCCCAAATCCCCCTGGGATCCCCAAATCCATCCCGGACCCCCCAAATCCATCCCAGACCCCCTAAATCCCCCCCAAATCCCCCCCAAATCCATCCTAGACCCCCCAAATCCCCCCAAATCCCCCCAAATCCATCCTAGACCCCCCAAATCCCTCCCAAATCCCCCCGAAATCCCTCCAGGACCCCCCAGTTCCTCCCCAAATCCATCCCAGACCCCCCAAAATCCCTCCAGGACCTCCCAAATCCCTCCCAGACGCCCCAAATCCTCCCAAATTCCCACAAATCCCCCCCAAATTCTCCCCAAATCCATCCCAGACCCCCCAAATCCCCCCAAATCCCTCCCAAATCCTCCCCAAACCCCTCCAGGACCCCCCAAATCCTCCCAAATCCCCCCAGTTCCTCCCCAAATCCACCCCAGACCCCCCAATTCCTCCCCCAATCCCCCCCATTTCCCCCCCTCTCCCCCCGCGCTGCCCCTCCCCTCGCAGGCCCCGCCCCCTCCCGCTCCAGCCCCGCCCCCCGCGCTCAGGCCCCGCCCCCTGCCCGCGTTACCCGCGCTCGGCCCTCACGGCGCCGCCGCCGCCATCTTGGACCCGCCGGCCACGCCCCCCGCCCCGGCCACGCCCCCTTAAAGGCGCCGCGTCCCTTTCCCCGCACAGACCACACCCCCCTCTCCCTGACGTCATATCGCGATAGAACGGGCGTGGTCACTGCAGGCCACGCCCACAAAGGGGCGGAGCAGAGCGGGTAAAACAAAAGGCGGGGTTTATTGAGGGGGAGGAGCCGAAGGGGCGGAGTTTGAGCGCAAAGGGGGCGGGGTTTGAGCGCAAAGGGGCGTGGCCAGAGGCGATGGGCGGGGCTAATCCGAGTCCGAGAGCACGATGATCTCCTCGGGGTCGCACTGGGTTCCCACGCTCGTCTGGAATTGGGGGAATTTGGGGTTTTTGGGGGGTCTGGGGTCCCTCTGGGGCCACCCCAAGGGGATTTGGGGGAATTTGGGGTTTTTGGGGTATCTGGGGACCCTCCATGGAGATTTGGGGGGATTTTGGGGGTCCTGAGGTGTGAGATCCCCCCTGGAGTCACCCCCGAGGGTCTGGGGAAATTGGGGGGAAATTGGGGGGATTTTGGGGGGTCCTGGGCCCCTCTGGGGTCACCCCAAGGGGATTTTGGGGGGAATTTGGGGGGAAATTTGGGGGATTTTGGGGCCTCTCTGGGGTCACTCCATGGAGATTTTGGGGGGAATTTGGGGGATTTTGGGGTCTGGGGTCACCCACGGGGATTTTTGGGCTCCCCGGGACTCCCCAAAGATGCCCCAGATTCAGCCTGGGGACCCCAAAACCCCCTCAGGACCCCCCCAAATCCCTCTCGATCCCCCTGAAACACCCCCAGGATCCCCAAAATCCCCCCCAAAATGCCCCCAAATCCCCCTCAAACCCCCCCAGATTCCCCCCTAGGACCCCCTAAATCCCCCCTAAATCCCCTCCCAACACCCCCAGGAGCCCCAAAATCCCCCTCAGGACCCCCCAAATCCCCTCCCAACACCCCCAAAATCCTCTCAGGACCCTCCAAATCCCCTCAGGACCCCCCAAACTCCCTCCCAGACACCCCAGGACCCCCCAAATCCCCTCAGGACCCCCGTAAATGCTCTCAAACCCCCCCAATCCCCCTGTGCTCACCTTGCAGGTTTTGGGGTCCCCCCCGGGGGGGCTCCCCTGGGAGGAGCTCACCAGGTCCCCCCCGGGGGAGTCGGCGCGGGTGGAGTCGGGCAGGGGGGAGGGGGGGGCGCCCCCCACATCCGGCCCCTCCCCCACCTCCGAGACCCCCTCGGGCAGGGCCAGGCTGGGGGGGGGGAGGGGAGCGGGGTCAGAGACACCCCCGGAACCCACCCGGGAACCCCAAAATCCACCCGGGACCCCCAAAATCCACCCGGGAACCCCGAAATTCACCCGGGAACCCCAAAATCCACCCCAAAATTCACCCGGGAACCCCAAAATCCACCCAGAACCCCCCAAAAACTGACCTGAGACACCCCCGGAATCCACCCGGGAACCCCAAAATCCAGCCAGGAACCCCAAAATTCACCCCAGGAATCCACCCGGGAACCCCGAAATTCACCCCAAAATTCACCCGGGAACCCCGAAATTCACCCCAGGAATTCACCCCCCAAAATTCACCCGGGAACCCCGAAATTCACCCCCGGAATCCACCCGGGAACCCCAAAATTCACCCGGGAACCCCGAAATTCACCCGGGAACCCCAAAATCCACCCCCGGAATCCACCCGGGAACCCCAAAATTCACCCCGGAATCCACCCGGGAACCCCAAAATCCAGCCGGGAACCCCAAAATTCACCCCCGGAATCCACCCGGGAACCCCAAAATTCACCCCCCCCAAAATTCACCCCCAGAATCCACCCGGGAACCCCAAAATTCACCCCCAAAATCCAGCCGGGAACCCCAAAATTCACCCGGGACCCCCCCAAAATCCCAACGGGACCCCGAAAAACTGACCTGAGACCCCCCCAAAAATTCATCTGGGACCCCAAAATTCACCTGGGATACCCCAAAAATCCCCTCAAGCTCTCCCGAACCCCTCCTAGGCCCCCTCAGAGCCCCCAAATTCTCCCAAATTCCCCTCAACCGCCCCCAGAACCCCCAAGACTCCCCAAAATCCCCCCCAAAATCCCCCAGGATGCCCCAAATCTCCCCAGGACCCCCCCAAAATCCTCCCAAACCCCCCCTGGGTACCCCCAAACCGCCCCAGATCCCCCCCAGGACCCCCCAGAATCCCCTCCAGACCCCCTCAAAACCCCCCAAAAATCCCCCCAGGACCCTCCAGGACCCCCCCAAACCCCCCTAAATCCCCTCAAAGCCCCCCAGAATCTCCCCAAATCCCCCCAGGACCCCCCAAACCCCCCCAGTTCCCCCCTAAACCTCTCCAGGACCCCCAAAATCCCCCCCAAATCTCCCCCAAAATCCCCCCGGGACCCCCCAGACCTCCCCAGTTCCCCCCCCAGGACCCCCAAATCCCCCTGGGACCACCCCCCCCCATCCCTTCAAACCCCCCCTCCCCAAAATCGCCCCAAACCCCCCAGGACCCCCCAAACCCCCCCAGTTCCCCCCTACACCACTCCAGGACCCCCCCACATTCCCCCAAATGCCCCCAGGACCCCCCCAAATCCCCCCCAAATCCCCTGAAAATCTCTCCAGGACCCCCCCCAAACCCCCCAGGACCCCCCCAAACCTCCCCAAAATCTCGCCAGGACCCCCAAATCCCCCCAAAATCCCCCCCAAATCCCCCCAAAATCCCCCCCAAACCCCCCCCCCTGCGCCCCAAATCCCCCCCCCCAAACCCCCCCCACCCCAAATCCCCCCAGGACCCCCAAATCCCCCCCAAACCTCCCTAAATCCCCCCAGGACCCCCCAAAATCCCCCTTTTTCCCCTCCCCCCCTCACCTTCCCGGCTCCGTCCGGTTCCGTTTCCTGGGGGGGGGTCCCTGGATGGGGGTGGGCGGGGTCGCGGCCCCTCCCCCCCCTCCCCCCGCCCCTCCCCCCCCGTTGAGGGAGGTGGAGCTGATGGGCCTGGGGGGGGAGGGGGGGGAGGGGCGCCTGCGAGCCCCGCCCAGATCCGGCGGGAATTGGGGAGGGGCGGGGCCTCGGGGGGAGGGGGGCGTGGCTTTGGGCGTGGCCTCGGAGCCGCCCAGGGCCGGGGGAGGGGAGGGGGGCGGGGAAGGGGGCGGGGTCTCGCCGGGCTCCAATGGGAAAGTTTCGATTTCCAGCACGAACAGCTCGGGCTTGGGGGGGGGGAGGGGCTCGGGACCGCCCCCCTCGGGACCCCGCCCCTCCCCCTCGGCCGCGGGGGGGGGGAGGGGCAGCGCCGGGAGCCCCGGATCGGCCGCACCTGAATGGGGGGGGGAGGGGCGGGGTTAGAGAGGGGGGAGGGGCGGGGTTAGAGAGGGGGGAGGGGCGGGGACACACCCGGGACCCCCCCCCAGAATTCCCTCCAGGACCCCCAAAATTCCCCCCAAAATTCCCCCCAAAATTCCCCCCAAAATTCCCCCCGAGACCCCCCAAAATTCCCCACAAAATTCTCCCCCAGATCCCCCAAAATTCCCCCCAAAATTCCTCCCAAAACCCCCCAAAATTCCCCCCAAAATTCCTCCCAAAACCCCCCAAAATTCCCCCCAAAATTCCTCCCAAAACCCCCCCCAAAATTCCCCCCAAGATCCCCCCAAAATTCCCCCCAAAATTCTCCCCAAAATTCCTCCCAAAACCCCCCAAAATTCCCCCCAAAATTCCTCCCAAAACCCCCCAAAATTCCCCCCGAGACCCCCCAAAATTCCCCACAAAATTCTCCCCCAGATCCCCCAAAATTCCCCCCAAAATTCTTCCCAAAACCCCCCAAAATTCCCCCCAAAATTCCCCCCAAAATTCTCCCCCAGACCCCCTAAAACTACCCCCAGGACCCCTCAAAATTCCCCCCCCAAATTCCCCCCCAGACTCCCCAAAATTCTCTCCAAAACCCCCAAAAATCCTTCTCAAAAATTCCCCCCAAAACCCTTCTCAAAAATTCCCCCCAAGGATCCCCAAAATTCCTCCCAAAATCTCCCCCAGGACCCCCAAAATTCTCCCCCCAGAACCCCCCAAATCCCTCCCAAAATTCCCCCCAAATCCCCCTGAAATTCCCCAAATCTCCCCAGAATTGCCAAAATTCCCCCAAATTTCCTCAGAATTCCCCCAAAAAATCCTCCCAGAATTTCCCCCAAATTTCCCCCCAGAATCCTCACAGAATTCCCAAAACCCCCCAGATTTCCCCAGAATCCCCCCCAAAAATCCTCCCAGAATTCCCAAAATTCCCCCAAATTTCCCCAGAATTCCCAAAACTGCCCCAAAAAATCCTCCCAGAATTCCCAAAATTTCCCCAAAATTTCCCCCCAAAATGCTCCCAGAATTTCCAAAACCGCCCCAAAAAATCCTCCCAGAATTCCCAAAAGTTCCCCAATTTTCCCCAAAATTTCCCCCCAAAATCCCCCCAGAATTCCCAAATTCCCCCAAATTCCCCCAAATCCCCCCAGCCCCACCCTGTGCCGCTGCCGTTGCTTCTCTTCCTTCCTCCTCCTCCTCCTCCTCCTCCTCCGTCTCCTCCTCCTCCTTGACCTTCACCCGCCCTTCGGCCTCGGAGGATTCTCCTTCCTCTTCCTCCTCCTCTTCTTCCTCCTCCTCCTCCTCTTCCTCCTCATCTTCTTCATCTTCCTCCTCCTCTTCCTCGTCTTCCTCTTCTTCTTCTTCCTCCTCCTCCTCTTCCTCCTCCTCCTCTTCCTCTTTCTTTTTCTGCGGATGAAGAATTTTTAGTGGGGGGGGCGGGGGGGGTTCCTTTTCCCAGCCTTCCTCTTCCTCTTCTTCCTCTTCCCACTTCCCATTCCTGGTTCCCGTTTCCCATTTCCCGTTTCCCATTTCCCCCATTATCCCCGTTCCCGTTCCCCGGTTCCCCCCTGGCCGTTTATGGGGCTGGTTCCCGTTTCCCATTTCCCATTCTCCCCATTTTTTCCCCGTTTCCCATTTCCCATTTTCCCCCTTTTTTCCCCATTTCCCTGTTCCCGTTACCCGGTTCCCCCATGTCCGTTTCCTGTCCCCATTCCCCTTTTCCCATTTCCCATTTTCCCTGTTTCCCATCCCCATTCCCCATTTCCCATTCTCCATTTCCCCCGTTTTCCCTGTTCCCGTTACCCGGTTCCCCCCTGGCCATTTATGGGGTGGTTCCCGTTTCCCGTTTCCCATTTCCCATTCTCCCTGTTTCCCCTTTTCCCGTTTCCCATTTTCTCTGTTTCCCATTTTCCCTGTTTCCCCGTTTCCCTCGTGGCTGTTTCCCATCCCCATTTCCCATTTCCCATTTCCCCCATTTCCCCCATTTCCCGTGTACCTGGTTCCCCCATGGCCATTTCCGGGGCCATTCCCCATCCCCATTTCCCATTTCCCATTTCCCATTTCCCCGGTTCCCCCATGTCCATTTCCTGTCCCCATTCCCCTTTGCCCATTTCCAATTTTCCCTGTTTCTCCTTTTCCCTCATGGCTGTTTCCCATCCCCATTTCTCATTCCCGTTTCCCATTTCCCATTTCCCATTCTCCTCATTTTTTCCCCGTTTCCCATTTCCCGTGTACCCGGTTCCCCCATGGCCATTTCCAGGGCCGTTCCCCATTCCCGTTTCCTGTCCCCATTCCCATTCCCCATTTCCCAGTTCCCATTTCCCCGGTTCCCCCGTGTCTGTTTCCTGTCCCCATTCCCCATTTCCCATTTTCCCTGTTTCCCCATTTCCCCGTTTCCCCCGTGGCCGTTTCCCATCCCCGTTTCCCCCATTTCCCCGTTCCTGTTCCCCGGTTCCCCCTGGCCGTTTATGGGGCCGGTTCCCGGTTCCCATTTCCCATTCTCCCTGTTCTTTCCCTGTTTCCCATTTCCCATGTACCCGGTTCCCATTCCCATTTCCCATTTCCCTGGTTCTCCCGTGTCCGTTTCCTGTCCCCATTCCCCATTTCCCATTTTCCCTGTTTCCCCATTTCCCCGTTTCCCCCGTGGCCGTTTCCCATCCCCATTTCCCCCATTTCCCCGTTCCCGTTACCCGGTTCCCCCGTGGACGTTTATGGGGCCGGTTCCCATTTCCCATTCCCCATTTTCCCATTTTTTTCCCCGTTTCTCCATTTCCCGTTACCCGGTTTCCCCGTGTCCATTCCCCATTTCCCATTTTCCCCATTTTCCCCATTTCCCCCGTTGTTTCCCCCCAGTTTCCCTGTGTTGTTTCCATGCCCCGGTGCCATCTCTGTCCCCATTTCCCATTCCCATTTTCCCCATTTTCCCCCCGTTTTACCCGGTTTCCCTGTGTCCATTTCCTGTTCCCATTTCCCATTTCCCATTTCCCATTCCCTCTGTGTTTACCCTGTTTCCCTGTGTCCATTTCCGTGTCTGTTTCCCATCCCCATTTCCCCGTTGTTTCCCCATTTTTTCCCCATTTTCCCCCCTGTGTTTACCCTGTTCCCCCGTGTCCGTCTCCGTCCCCATTTTCCCCGTTTTTTCCCCCATTTTCCCTGTTTTTTTCCCCCATTTTCCCTCTTTTTCCCTGTTTTTTTCCCTGTTTTTTGTGTTTACCCTGTTTCCCCGTGTCCGTCTCTGTTCCGCCCTGTTCCCGGTGCCGTCTCTGTCCCCATTTTCCCCGTTTTTTCCCCATTTGTTCCCTGGTTTTCCCCAGCTTTTCCCCCATTTTTTCCCCATGTTTACCCTGTTCCCCCCGTGTCCATCTCCACTCTGCCCTGTTCCCGGTGCCGTCTCTGTCCCCATTTTCCCTGTTTTTCCCCCGTTTTTCCCCCGTTTTTTCCCCATTTTCCCCCCTGTGTTTACCCTCTTCCCCCGCGTCCATCTGCGCTCCCCTCGGTTCCTGGTGCCATCCCCTCGCTCCCGGTGCCATCTCCATCCCCTTTTTTCCCCGTTTTTTCCCCATTTTTCCCCATGTTTACCCTGTTGCCCCGTGTCCGTCTCCCCCCTGTTCCCGGTGCCGTCTCTGTCCCCATTTCCCCTGGTTTTCCCCCATTTCCCCCTGTGTTTACCCTGTTCCCCCGTGTCCGTTTCTGTTCCCTGGTGTTCCCGCTCCCAGTGCCGTCTCTGTCCCCTTTTTCCCCGTTTTTTCCCTGTTTTTTCCCCATTTTTCCCCATGTTTACCCTGCTCCCCCGTGTCTGTCTCCCCCCTGGTCCCGGTGCCATCTCTGTCCCCATTTTCCCTGTTTTTCCCCATTTTTCCCCATTTTTTGTGTTTACCCTGTTTCCCCGTGTCCGTCTCCGCTCTGCCCGGTTCCCAGTGCCATCTCTGTCCCCATTTTCCCCGTTTTTCCCCCATTTTCCCCCTGTGTGTGTTTACCCTATTGCCCCGTGCCTGTCTCTGCTCTGCCCTGTTCCCGGTGCCGTCTCTGTCCCCATTTTCCCTGGTTTTCCCTGTTTTTTCCCCATTTTTCCCCCATGTTTACCCTGCTCCCCCGTGTCCATCTCCCCCCTGTTCCCAGTGCCATCTCTGTCTCCATTTTCCCCATTTTTCCCCCGTTTTTCCCCGTGTTTACCCTGTTCCCCCGTGTCCATTTCTGTTCCCGGTGCTGTCCCCTTACTCCCAGTGCCGTCTCTGTCCCCATTTTCCCCATTTTTTTCCCCGTTTTTTCCCCCATTTCTCCCATGCTTACCCCGTTCCCCCGTGTCCATCTCCACTCCCCCCTGTTCCCGGTGCCGTCTCTGTCCCCATTTTCCCCGTTTTTCCCCGTTTTCCCCGTTTTTTCCCCATTTTCCCCCTGTGTGTGTTTGCCCTGTTTCCCCGTGTCCGTTTCCGCTCTGCCCGGTTCCCGGTGCTGTCCCCCTCACTCCTGGTGCCGTCTCTGTCCCCATTTTCCCCGTTTTTTCCCCATTTTCCCCCCGTGTTTACCCTGTTCCCCCGTGTCCATTTCCATGTCTGTTTCCCATCCCCATTTTCCCCGTTTTTTCCCCATTTTCCCCCCGTGTTTACCCTGTTCCTCCGTGTCCATTTTCATGTCTGTTTCCCATCCCCATTTTCCCCGTTTTTCCCCGTTTTTTCCCATTTTTTCTCCCCTGTGTGTGCTTACCCTGTTTCCCTGTGTCCGTCTCTGTTCCCCCCAGTTCCCAGTGCCGTCTCTGTCCCCTTTTTCCCCGTTTTTCCCGTTTTTTCCCCGTTTTTTCCCCCCTGTGTTTACCCCTGTTTCCCCGTGTCCGTTTCCGCTCCCCCCAGTTCCCAGTGCCGTCTCTGTCCCCATTTTCCCCGTTTTTTCCCCATTTTCCCCCTGTGTTTACCCTGTTCCCCCGTGTCCGTTTCCATGTCTGTTTCCCATCCCCATTTTCCCAGTTTTTTCCCCCATTTTCCCTGTTTTTTCCCCATTTTCCCCCCATTTTTTGTGTTTACCCTGTTGCCCCGTGTCCATCTCCACTCCCCCCTGTTCCTGGTGCCGTCTCTGTCCCCATTTTCCCTGTTTTTCCCCCGTTTTTTCCCCATTTTCCCCCCTGTGTTTACCCTGTTCCCCCGCGTCCATCTGCGCTCCCCTCGGTTCCCGGTGCCGTCCCCTCGCTCCCGGTGCCATCTCCATCCCCTTTTTCCCCCGTTGTCCCCCCGTTTTTCCCCCGTTTTTTCCCCATGTTTACCCTGTTCCCCCGTGTCCGTCTCTGTTCCGCCCGGTTCCCGGTGCCGTCCCCTCTGTTCCCGGTGCCATCTCTGTCCCCATTTCCCCTGTTTTTCCCCATGCTTACCCTGTTCCCCCGTGTCCGTTTCCATGTCTGTTTCCCATCCCCATTTTCCCAGGTTTTCCCCCGTTTTTTCCCCATTTTTTCCCCCGTTTTTTCCCCACGCTTACCCTGTTCCCCCGTGTCTGTCTCCACTCCCCCCTGTTCCTGGTGCTGTCTCTGTCCCCATTTTCCCCGTTTTTTCCCCATTTTCCCCCTGTGTTTACCCTGTTCCCCCGTGTCCGTCTCCATGTCTGTTTCCCATCCCCATTTTCCCAGTTTTTTCCCCCATTTCCCCATTTTTTCCCCGTTTTTCCCCCATTTTTTGTGCTTACCCTGTTTCCCCGTGTCCGTCTCCGCTCTGCCCTGTTCCTGGTGCCGTCTCTGTCCCCATTTTCTCCGTTTTTTCCCCGTTTTTTCCCGTTTTTCCCCATTTTTCCCCATGCTTACCCTGTTCCCCCCGTGTCCGTTTCCATGTCTGTTTCCCATCCCCATTTTCCCAGTTTTTTCCCCCATTTTCCCCCTGTTTTTCCCCCATTTCCCCCCCGTGCTTACCCTGTTTCCCCGTGTCCATTTCTGTGTCTGTTTCCCATCCCCATTTTCCCCGTTTTTCCCCCGTTTTTCCCCCATTTCCCCCCCATGCTTACCCTGTTTCCCCGTGTCCGTTTCTGTGTCTGTTTCCCATCCCCGTTTTCCCCCGTTTTTTCCCCCGTTTTTTCCCCACGCTTACCCTGTTTCCCCATGTCTGTTTCCACTCCCCCCTGTTCCCGGTGCCATCTCTGTCCCCATTTTTCCCCCGTTTTTTCCCTGTTTTTTGAGCTTACCCTGTTTCCCCGTGTCCGTCTCCGTCCCCATTTTCCCCGTTTTTCCCCTGTTTTTCCCCGTGTTTTTCCCCATGCTTACCCTGTTTCCCCGTGTCCATCTCCGCTCCCCCCTGTTCCCGGTGCCGTCTCTGTCCCCATTTTCCCCGTTTTTTCCCCGGTTTTTGTGCTTACCCTGTTTCCCCGTGTCCGTCTCCGCTCCCCCCTGTTCCCGGTGCTGTCTCTGTCCCCATTTCCCCCCCGTTTTTCCCCCATTTTGCTCCCTGTGTTTACCCTGTTCCCCCATGTCCGTTTCCGTGTCTGTTTCCCATCCCATTTTCCCAGTTTTTTCCCCCATTTTCCCCGTTTTTTCCCCCATTTTCCCTGTTTTTTTCCCATTTTTCCCCATTTTTCCCCATGCTAACCCTGTTCCCCCGTGTCCGTTTCCATGTCTGTTTCCCATCCCCATTTTCCCAGGTTTTCCCCCGTTTTTTCCCCATTTTTTCCCTGTTTTTTCCCCACGCTTACCCTATTTCCCCGTGTCCGTTTCCGCTCCCCCCTGTTCCTGGTGCCGTCTCTGTCCCCATTTTCCCCCCGTTTTTCCCTGTGTTTTTCCCACGCTTACCCTGTTTCCCTGTGTCCGTTTCCGTCCCCTTTTTCCCCGTTTTTCCCTGGTTTTCCCCATTTTTTGTGCTTACCCTGTTTCCCCGTGTCCGTTTCCGCTCCCCCCTGTTCCTGGTGCCATCTCTGTCCCCATTTTCCCCGTTTTTCCCCGTGTTTTTCCCCATGCTTACCCTGTTTCCCCGTGTCCGTTTCCGCTCCGCGCGGTTCCCGGTGCCGTCTCTGTTCCCCATTTTCCCCGTTTTTCCCCGGTTTTTGTGCTTACCCTGTTTCCCCGTGTCCGTTTCCGCTCCGCGCGGTTCCCGGTGCCGTCGCCCCCGCTCCCGGTGCCGCTCCTGGCGCTGTGCGAACCGGGCGATGACGTCGTCCAGCCGGGCCAGGGCCAGGCGCCGGTTCCGCCGCAGCCGCTGCGCCAGCTCGGGGTCCGACAGCGCCGGGTCCGTGCCTGCGTGGGCAGGGGGGGAGACAGGGAATCACTGAGTGACCCAAAATCCCCAAATCCCTGAAATCCCCAAATCCTGAAATTCCCAAAGCCTGAAATCCCCGATTGGCCAAAATCCCCAAATTCCTGAAATCCCAGACTGCCCGAAATCACAAATCCCCAAATCACTGATTGGCCGAAATCCCTGAATTTCTGAAATCCCAAATTCCCAAATCATGGATTGCCCAAAATCCCCAAATCCCAGATTGCCCGAAATCCCAAATCCCCAAATCACTGATTGGCCAAAATCCCCAAAATCCTGAAATCCCCAAATCCGTGATTGCCCAAAATCCCCAAATTCCTGAAATCCCAAATCCTGAAATTCCCAAAGCCTGAAATCACTGATTGCCCAAAATCCCCAAATTCCTGAAATCCCAAATCCCCAAATCATGGATTGCCCAAAATCCCCAAATCCCAGATTGCCCGAAATCACAAATTCCCAAATCACTGATTGGCCAAAATCCACGAATCCCTGAAATCCCAGATTGCCCAAAATCCCTAAATCACAAAATCCCAAATTGCCCAAAATCCCAAATCCTGAAATTCCCAAAGCCTGAAATCCCTGATTGTCCAAAATCTGCGAATCCCTGAAATTACCAAACCCTGAAATCCCAGATTGCCCAAAATCCCAAATCCCAAAATCCCAGACTGCCCGAAATCCCAAATTCCCAAATCACTGATTGGCCAAAATCCCCAAAATCCTGAAATCCCAGATTGCCCAAAATCCCTAAATCACAAAATTCCAAATTGCCCAAAATCCCAAATCCTGAAATTCCAAAATCCTGAAATCCTTGATTGCCCAAAATTCCAGACTGCACAAAATCCCAAATCCAAAAATCACAAATTCCCAAATCACTGATTGGCCAAAATCCCCAAATTCCTGAAATCCCAAATCCTGAAATTCCCAAAGCCTGAAATCCCTGATTGGCCAAAATCCCAAATCCCAAAATCCCAGATTGCCCGAAATCCCAAATCCCCAAATCCCTGATTGGCCAAAATCCCCGAATTCCTGAAATCCCAAATCCTGAAATTCCCAAAGCCTGAAATCCCTGATTGCCCAAAATCCCCAAATCCCTGAAATTCCAAATTCCCAAATCACTGATTGCCCAAAATCCCCAAATCCCTGAAATCCCCAAATCCCAGACTGCCCGAAATCCCTAAATCCCCAAATCACTGATTGGCCAAAATCCCCGAATCCCTGAAATCCCCAAATCCTGAAATCATGGATTGCCCAAAATCCCAAACCCTGAAATCACACATTGCCCAAAATCCCCGATTGCCCCAAAATCCCCAAATCAAAAATTCCAAATTGCCCAAAATCCCAAATCCTGAAATTCCCAAAGCCTGAAATCCCAGATTGCCCAAAACCCCCAAATTCCTGAAATCCCAGATTGCCCAAAATCCCTAAATCACAAAATTCCAAATTGCCCAAAATCCCAAATTCTGAAATTCCAAAATCCTGAAATCCCAGATTGGCCAAAACCCCCAAATTTCTGAAATCCCAGATTGCCCAAAATCCCCAATTTCAAAATCCCAGATTGGCCAAAATCCCCAAATCACAAAATCCCAGATTGCCCGAAATCCCAAATCCCCAAATCACTGATTGGCCAAAATCCCCAAATTCCTGAAATCCCAAATTCCCAAATCATGGATTGCCCAAAATCCCCAAACCCTGAAATTCCCAAACCCTGAAATCCCAGATTGCCCAAAATCCCCAAATTCCTGAAATTCCAAATCCTGAAATTCCCAAACCCTGAAATCCCTGATTGCCCAAAATCCCAAAATCCTGAAATTTCCAAACCCGGAAATTCCCTAATCCCAAAATTCCCAAAATTCCCAAACCCTGAAATTCCCTAATCCCAAAATTCCCAAAATCCCAAATCCTGAAATCCCCAAATCCCAACCCTCAAAATTCCAAACCCCCAAAAAAATTCCCAAATCAAAAATCCCAAACCCCAAAATCCCAAAATCCCAAACCCCAAAATCCCCAAACTCCAAACCCCAAAATCCCCAAACTCCAAACCCCAAAATCCCAAAATCTCAAACCCTAAAACCCCCAAAATTCCAAACCCCAAAATCCCCAAACTTCAAACCCTAAAACCCCCAAAATTCCAAATCCCAAAATCCCCACACTCCAAACCCTAAAATCCCAAAATCCCAAACCCCAAAATCCCAAAAACTCCAAACCCTAAAATCCCAAAATCCCAAACCCCAAAATCCCCAAACTCCAAACCCTAAAATCCCAAAATTCCAAACCCCAAAATCCCCAAACTCCAAACCCCAAAATCCCCAAACTCCAAACCCTAAAACCCCAAAATCCCAAATCCCAAAATCCCCAAAATTCCCATTTCCAGCCCCACCCCTCCCCATTTTCTCACTTTTTTCCCATTTTCTCACTTTTTCCCCATTTTCTCATTTTTTCCCATTTTCTCACTTTTTCCCCATTTTCTCACTTTTTTCCCATTTTCTCACTTTTTCCCCATTTTCTCATTTTTTCCCATTTTCTCACTTTTTTCCCATTTTCTCACTTTTTTCCCATTTTCTCACTTTTTTCCCATTTTCTCTCCCGTTTTCCCCCATTTTCCATCTTTACCCCGCATTTTCTCCACCTTCTGCCCCAATTTTCCTCCTTTCAGCCCATTTCCCCCATTTCCCCTCAATTTCCCTCCCATTTCCCTTCTCCCATCCCATTTCCTCTCCCATTTTTTCCCATTTTCCTTCATTTTTCCCCATTTTCCCCACTCCCCCTCCCTTAGCACCCGGTCCCATCCCATTTCCCCTTCCATTTTTCCCATTTTCCCCATTTCCCATTTTTCCCCATTTCCCCCAATTTCCCCTCTCATTTCCCATTTTCCCCCATTTCCCATTTCCCCCCATTTCCCCCAATTTCCCCTCTTATTTTCCCCCATTTCCCCACCATTTCCCCTCTCATTTTTCCCATTTCCCCCCAATTTCCCCTCTCATTTTTCCCATTTTCCTCCCCATTTCCCATTTCCCCCATTTCCCCAATTTCCCCTCATTTTCCCCATTTCCCCCAATTTCCCCTCTCATTTTTCCCATTTTCTCTCCCATTTCCCCCATTTCCCCCCAATTTCCCTTGTCCCATCCCATTTTTTCCCATTTTCCTTCATTTTTTCCCATTTTCCCCACTTTCCCCACTCCCCCTCCCTTAGCACCCGGTCCCATCCCATTTCCCCTTCCATTTTTCCCCATTTCCCCCAATTTCCCCTCTCATTTTTCCCATTTTCCCCCATTTCCCATTTCCCCATTTCCCCCTCATTTTTCCCCATTTCCCCCAATTTCCCTCCCATTTCCCCCCATGTCCCTCTCCCATTTTCCCCATTTCCCCTCTCATTTCCCATTTTTCCATTTCCCCTCTCATTTCCCATTTCCTCCATTTCCCATCTCATTTCTCATTTTTCCCCATTTCCCTCCCATTTCCCCCATTCCCCTCCCATTTCCCCTCTCATTTTCCCATTTTCCTTCCCATTTCCCCATTTCCCCCAATTTCCCCTCTCATTTTTCCCCATTTCCCCCATTTCCCCCCAATTTCCCCTCTCATTTTTCCCATTTTCCCCCATCTCCACCATTTTCCCTCCCATTTCCCCCCATGCCCCTCTCCCATTTTTCCCATTTCCCCTCTCATTTCCCATTTTTTCCCATTTCCCTCCCATTTTCCATTTTTCCCCATTTCCATCTCATTTCCCATTTTTCCGCATTTCCCCACCATTTCCCCTCTCATTTTCCCCCATTTCCCCCAATTTCCCCTCCCATTTCTCCCCATGCCCCCTCTCCCATTTTTCCCATTTCCCATTTCCTCTGTCATTTCCCATTTCCCCTCTCATTTCCCATTTTTTCCCCTTTCCCCTCTCATTTCCCATTTTCCCCATTTCCCCTCTCATTTTTTCCCATTTCCCCCATTTCCCCTCTCATTTTCCCCAATTTCCCCTCTCATTTTCCCATTTTCCCCCATTTCCTATTTTCCCCCATTTCCCCACCATTTCCCCTCTCATTTTCCCCATTTTTCCCACTTTCCCTCATTCCCCTCATTTTCCCCAATTTCCCCTCCCATTTCCCCCCATGCCCTCTCCCATTTTTCCCATTTTTCCCATTTCCCTCCCATTTCCCATTTTCCCCATTTCCCTCCCATTTCCCATTTTTCCCCATTTCCCCTCTCATTTCCCATTTTTCCATTTCCCCTCTCATGTTCCATTTCCCCCATTTCCATCTCATTTCCCATTTTTCCCATTTCCCCTCTCATTTTCCCCATTTCCCCTCATTCCCCTCTCATTTTTCCCATTTTCCCCCATTTCCCCTCTCATTTTCCCCATTTCCCATTTCCCCCATTTTCCCCCCATTTCCCCATTTCCCCTCATTTTCCCCATTTTTCCCATTTTCCCTCATTCCCCTCATTTTCCCCAATTTCCTCTCCCATTTCCCCCCATGCCCCTCTCCCATTTTTCCCATTTTTCCCATTGCCCCCACTTCCCTTTTCCTCCATTTTCCCCATTCCCACTTTCCTCTGATTTCCCATTTTTCCCCATTTCCCAGTTTCCCTATTTCCCCTCCCATTTTTCCCCATTTCTCTCCCATTTTTCCCCATTTTTCCCCCGTTTATTCCCCATTACTCGGCCTGTACTCATCAGTGAGGTGACTCCTGAAGTTGTACCCCATTTTTTGCAGGTTTTACCCCATTTTTCCCCATTTTTATTCAATTTTTCCCCATTCCCCATGCCATACCCGGCCTGTACTCATTGGTGAGGTGACTCCCAAAGTTGAATCCCATTTTTTCCCCATTTTTACCCAAATTTTTACCCCCTTACCTGGCCTGTACTCATCAGTGAGGTGACCCCTAAAGTTGAATCCCATTTTTTCCTGTTTTTTCCTGTTTTTACCCCATTTTCACCCCGTTTTTTCTGCATTCCCCAAGCCATACCCAGCCTGTACTCGTTGGTGAGATGACTCCCAAAGCTGTACCCCCATTTTTTCCCCATTTTTCCCCATTTTTACCCCAATTTTTGCCCATTATCCGGCCTGCACTCATTGGTGACGTGGCTCCCAAAATTGTACTCTTTTTTTCCCTATTTTTTCCCATTTTAACCGATTTTTTCCCATTTTTACCCCAATTTTTACCCATTATCCGGCCTGTACTCATTGCTGAGGTGGCTCCCCAAGTTGAACCCCATTTTTTCCCATTTTTACCCCATTTTACCCCGTTTTTTCTGCATTCCCCAAGCCATACCCGGCCTGTACTCATCAGTGAGGTGACTCCCAAAGTTGTACCCCAGTTTTTCCCCATTTTCCCCCATTTTAACCCCAATTTTTGCCCATTATCCGGCCTGCACTCATTGGTGACGTGGCTCCCAAAACTGTACTCTTTTTTTCCCTATTTTTTTCCCATTTTAACCCATTTTTTCCCATTTTTACCCCAATTTTTGCCCTTTCCCCGGCCTGCACTCATTGCTGAGGTGGCTCCCAAGTTGAACCCCATTTTTCCCATTTTTTTCCCATTTTCACCCAGTTTTTTTGCATTCCCCATGCCATACCCAGCCTGTACTCATTGGTGAGATGACTCCCAAATTGTACCCCATTTTTTCCCCATTTTTCCCCATTTTAACCCCAATTTTTGCCCATTATCTGGCCTGCACTCATTGGTGACGTGGCTCCCAAAATTGTACTCTTTTTTTCCCTATTTTTTCCCATTTTAACCCCATTTTATCCCATTTTTACCCCAATTTTTGCCCTTTGCCTGGCCTGCACTCGTTGCTGAGGTGACTCCCAAAGTTGAACCCCATTTTTTCCCATTTTTACCCCCATTTTACCCCATTTTCACCCCATTTTTTCTGCATTCCCCAAGCCATACCCAGCCTGTACTCATCAGTGAGGTGACTCCCAAAGTTGAACCCCAGTTTTTCCCCAATTTTTCCCATTTTTACCCCAATTTTTGCCCTTTCCCCGGCCTGCACTCATTGCTGAGGTGGCTCCCCAAGTTGAACCCCATTTTTTCCCATTTTTACCCCATTTTTTCCCATTTTCACCCATTTTTTCTGCATTCCCCAAGCCATACCCAGCCTGTACTCGTTGGTGAGGTGACTCCCAAAGTTGTACCCCAGTTTTTCCCCATTTTTTCCCCATTTTTACCCCAATTTTTGCCCATTATCCGGCCTGCACTCATTGGTGACGTGGCTCCCAAAATTGTACTCTTTTTTTCCCTATTTTTTCCCATTTTAACCCATTTTTTTCCCATTTTTACCCCAATTTTTGCCCTTTACCCGGCCTGCACTCGTTGCTGAGGTGGCTCCCAAAGTTGAACCCCATTTTTTCCTGTTTTTACCCCATTTTCCCCCATTTATTCCCCATTACCCAGCCTGTACTCATCAGTGAGGTGGCCCCTGAAGTTGAACCCCATTTTTACCCCATTTTTTCCCATTTCACCCAGTTTTTCTGCATTCCCCAAGCCATACCCAGCCTGTACTCATCAGTGAGGTGACTCCCCAAGTTGAACCCCAATTTTTTCCCATTTTTCCCCATTTTACCCCATTTTCACCACATTTTTTCTGCATTCCCCATGCCATACCCAGCCTGTGTGGTGCCTGCCAAAGTTGTACCCCAGTTTTCCCCATTTTTCCCATTTTAACCCCAATTTTTGCCCATTATCCGGCCTGCACTCATTGGTGATGTGGCTCCCAAAATTGTACTCTTTTTTTCCCTATTTTTTTCCCATTTTAACCAATTTTTTCCCATTTTTACCCCAATTTTTGCCCTTTACCCGGCCTGTACTCATCAGTGAGGTGGCTCCCAAAGTTGAACCCCATTTTTTCCTGTTTTTCCCCATTTTCACCCAGTTTTTCTGCATTCCCCATGCCATACCCAGCCTGTACTCATCAGTGAGGTGACTCCCAAAGCTGTACCCCAGTTTTTCCCCATTTTTTCCCACTTTTACCCCAATTTTTGCCCTTTGCCCGGCCTGCACTCGTTGCTGAGGTGACTCCCGAAGTTGAACCCCATTTTTTCCCATTTTTACCCCATTTTCACCCCGTTTTTTCTGCATTCCCCATGCCATACCCAGCCTGTACTCGTTGCTGAGGTGGCTCCCCAAGTTGTACCCCATTTTTTCCCATTTTTTGCTGTTTTTACCCTGTTTTTACCCCCTGTACCTGGCCTGTACTCGTCAGTGAGATGCCTCCCGAAGCTGTACCCCATTTTTTCCTGTTTTTCCCCCATTTCCCCCCATTTTTCCCCATTTTCACCCCATTTTTCCCCCTGTACCTGGCCGGTGCTCGTCGGTGAGGTGCCTCCCGAAGCTGTGCCCCATTTTTTTGTGTTTTTACCCCATTTTCACCCCATTTCTCTCCCTGTACCTGGCCGGTACTCGTCGGTGAGGTGGCTGCCGAAGCTGTACCCCATTTTTACCCCATTTTTACCCCATTTTTTTGTGTTTTTACCCCATTTTCCCCATTTCTCCCCCCGTACCTGGCCTGTACTCGTCGGTGAGGTGGCTCCCGAAGCTGTACCCCATTTTTTTGGTTTTTTACCCCATTTTATCCCATATTTAGCCCCTCACCTGGCCTGTACTCGTCGGTGAGGTGCCTGCCGAAGCTGTACCCCATTTTTACCCATTTCTTTGTATTTTCACCCCATTTCCCCCATCTCACCTGGCCGGTACTCGTCGGTGAGGTGACTCCCGAAGCTGTACCCCATTTTTTTGGTTTTTTTCCCCATTTTTACCCCTGTACCTGGCCTGTACTCATCGGTGAGGTGCCTCCCGAAGCTGTACCCCCATTTTTTTTGTTTTTTACCCCATTTCTCCCCCCATACCTGGCCGGTACTTGTCGGTGAGGTGACTCCTGAAGCTGTACCCCATTTTCTTGTTTTTTTACCCCATTTCTCCCCCCGTACCCAGCCTGTACTCGTCAGTGAGGTGGCTGCCAAAGTTGCACCCCATTTTTTCCTGTTTTTCCCCATTTTATCCCATTTTTACCCCTGTACCTGGCCTGTACTCATCAGTGAGGTGACTCCCAAAGCTGTACCCCATTTTTACCCATTTTTTTTGTTTTTTTCCCCATTTCTCCCCCCGTACCTGGCCGGTACTCGTCGGTGAGGTGACTCCCGAAGCTGTACCCCATTTTTTTGGTTTTTTACCCCATTTTTCCCCCTGTACCTGGCCTGTACTCGTCGGTGAGGTGGCTGCTGAAGTTGTACCCCATTTTTACCCATTTTTCCCCATTTTCACCCCATTTCTCCCCCCTCACCTGGCCTGTACTCGTCGGTGAGGTGACTCCCGAAGCTGTACCCCCATTTTTTTGGTTTTTTACCCCATTTTATCCCATATTTAGCCCCCGTACCTGGCCGGTACTCGTCGGTGAGGTGACTCCCGAAGCTGTACCCCATTTTTTTGGTTTTTTACCCCATTTTATCCCATATTTAGCCCCTCACCTGGCCTGTACTCATCAGTGAGGTGACTGCTGAAGCTGTACCCCATTTTTTCCTGGTTTTCCCCCATTTTTCCCCATTTTCACCCCATTTCCCCCCATCTCACCTGGCCTGTACTCGTCGGTGAGGTGGCTGCCAAAGCTGTACCCCATTTTTTTGGTTTTTTACCCCATATTTAGCCCCTCACCTGGCCTGTACTCGTCGGTGAGGTGACTCCCGAAGCCGTACCCCATTTTTTTTGGTTTTTACCCCATTTTTACCCCATATTTAGCCCCTCACCTGGCCAGTACTCGTCGGTGAGGTGGCTCCCAAAGCTGTACCCCATTTTTACCAATTTTTCCCCATTTTTACCCCATTTCCCCCATCTCACCTGGCCTGTACTCGTCGGTGAGGTGGCTGCCGAAGTTGTAGACGAGGTCGAGGTGGCGCCGCTCCTGCAGGCGGTTCCCCACCTCCCTGAAGGCCTCCTGGGCCATGTTCTCCATCTGCCGCCGGCCCAGCCCCAGGCGGTGCCGCGCGCTGGCGCCGCGGATCTCGCGCAGGATGTCCGAGTAGTCGGGGAAGGCGTCGGGCCGGTTGATGAAGCGCTCGATGCTGCGGTTCACCTCGGGGTAGCGCGTGCCCCGGAAGCGGATCCGCTGCTCCAGCACCCTGCCCGTCAGGCTGCTGCAGTCCTTGAGCTGGCACAGGCGGCGGAAGATCCTCATCATCCTCCTCTTGAGGCGGTTCTCCTGCAGGTACGGCGAGTCGGCGCTGTCCAGCTCGGCCAGGTCCAGCTCGCGCTCCTGCAGCCGCCGGATCTCGCCCGCGTAGACGCGCAGCAGGTGCTCCAGGTGCCGGATCTGCCGCCGCGAGCCGCCCGCGCGACGGCCCCCCGCCGGGCTCCGGCTGCTGGGACTGGGCGCCGGGGTGCTGGGGACTGGGCGCCGGGGTGCTGGGATTGGGTGCTGGGGTGCTGGGATTGGGCGCTGGGGTACTGGGATGGAGCGCTGGGATACTGGGATGGAGCGCCGGGATGCTGGGATGGAGCGCTGGGGTGCTGGGATGAACCCCCAGGATGCTGGGATGGAGCATTGGGGTACTGGGATGGAGCGCTGGGATACTGGGATGGAGCGCTGGGATACTGGGATGGAGCGCTGGGATGCTGGGATGGAGCATTGGGATTGCTGGGTGCACCCTCGGGACACTGGGATGAGGCACTGGGATTGCTGGGTGGACCCCCAGGATACTGGGATGGACCCCCAGGATACTGGGATGAAGCATTGGGACACTGGGAGGAGGCGCTGGGATGCTGGGAGGAGGCGCTGGGATGCTGGGATGAGGCACCGGGATACTGGGAGGAGGTTTTGGGATACTGGGATGAGGCGCTGGAGCACCAGGATGAACCATTGGGATACTGGGAGGGAGCACTGGGATCGCTGGAGGAAGCGCTGGGACACTGGGATGGGGCACTGGGATACTGGGATGGGGCACTGGGACACTGGGATGGACCCCCAGGACACGGGGAGGGATCCCCAGCCGGACACTGGGATGAACTGGGGGCGCACTGGGATGGCTCCGCTCCCTCGGGGTGCTGGGACGAGCCGGGCGGGCACGGGGATGAACTGGGCGGGTTCTGGAAGGTTCCATCAGGGTGCTGGGCTGAGCAATGGGGACACTGGGCTGAGCAATGGGGACACTGGGCTGAGCAATGGGGATTCTGGAAGGTTCCATGGGGACACGGGCGGGCGCCGGGCAGGGCGCGCAGGGGCAGGCGGGCGGCGCAGCGCCCGCGCCTTGAGCACGGTGCAGAGCTCGTTGATGTACACGTAGACCTTGCGGCGCCGGCCCCGCACGCGCCGCAGCAGCCGCCCCAGAATGTTCCGGAACTCGGCCGAGCCCCGGAAGTCGGGGTGGGCGCGCAGGTGGCGCGAGCTCAGGAAGGGCAGCACCTCGGGGTGCTCCTGCGTCAGCGGCGCGCACACGGACAGGAACTGCGAGAGAGCAGAGAGGAGAGCACCTGAGCACACCTGGGCACACCCAGGGTACACCTGGGTTACACCTGAGCACACCTGGGCACACCCGGGGTACACCTGAGTTACACCCAAGCACACCTGGGTACACCTGAACACACCTGGGTTACACCTGGGCACACCTGGGCACACCCAGGGTACACCTGAGTTACACCCGAGCACACCTGGGGTACACCTGGGGTACACCTGAACACATCTGGGATACACCTGGGTACACCTGGGCACACCCGGGGTACACCTGGGCACACCTGGGCACAGCTGGGGTACACCTGGGGTACACCTGGGCACAGCTGGGCACACCTGGGGTACACCTGGGCACACCCAGGGCACACCTGGGCACACCTGGATTACACCCGAGCACAGCTGGGCACACCTGGGATACACCTGGGATCCATCTGAGCACACCTGGGCACATCCGGGATACACCTGGGGTACACCTGGGCACACCTGGGCACACCCGGGGTAACCTGAGCAAGGGTGGGTAGAACTGACGCACACCTGAGCACACCTGAGTTGCACTTGGATACACCTGAGCATACCTGGGTAGAGCTGAGACACACCTGAGCACACCTGGGCACACCTGGACAGAACTGAGATACACCTGAGCACACCTGGGTATACCCGAGCACACCTGGATACACCTGGGCACACCTGAGCACACCTGGGTTACACCTGAGTGCACCTGGGATACACCTGAGTTACACCTGGATACAGCTGGGTTACAACTGAGCACATCTGGATGCACCTGGGATACACCTGAGTTACACCTGGGCACACCTGAGCACAGCAGAGCACAAGTGGATACACCTGAATTACACCTGGGCACACCTGGGTTACACCTGGATAAAACTGAGATACACCTGGGCACGCCTTGGCATACATGGGTAGAACTGAGATACACCTGGGGTACAGCTGAGGTACACCTGGATAGAACTGGGCACACCTGGATACACCTGAGCCCACCGTGACACACCCAGGACACACCTGGGGTAACACTGGGCACACCTGGGAAAGCCTCAGACACACCTGGGGACACTTTGAGCACACCCAGAGCACACCTGGGGACACCTGGGCACATCCAGGACACACCTGGGCCCACTTTGGACACACCCAGGGCACACCTGAACACACCTGGGATTGCTTTCCACACACCCAGGGCACAGCTGGGCCCACTCTGGACACACCCTGATGTACCTGGACACACCTGGGACACACCTGGGACACACCCACGCACATTTGAGACCACGCCCAGACACACCTGGGCTCACCTGAGCACACCCAGGCACACCTGAGACCACACCTGAGACCACTTTGGCCACACCTCAGACCACAGCTGGGCACACTTGGGCCCACCTGAGAGAGCACCTGGGCACACCCAGACACGCCTGAGCCAACCATGGGCCACACCTGAAACCGCACCCTGGACCACACCCATAAACCTGGGCACACCTGGGGGCACTTTGGCCACACCCAGACACACCTGAGACCACACCCAGATACACCTGAGACCACACCCAGACACACCTGAGACCACACCCAAACACACCTGAGACCACACCCAGACACACCTGGGAGCACTTTGGCCACACCCAGACACTCCTGGGCACACCCACACCCACCTGAGACCACACCCAGACACAGCTGGGCACATCCGGGACCACTTGGCCACACCCCCACACCCCCGGCCACACCTGGGCCACACCCAGGACCACACCCACACACCTGGGCCACACCCAGGCACACCTGGGTCACACCTGAGACCACTTTGGCCACACCTCAGACCACACCCAGACACACCTGGGCACACCTGAGACCACACCCAGACACACCCCGGGCCACGCCCCCCGCCGTTGCCCCGCCCCCTTTGCTCACCTGCTGGAAGAGCCGCTCGTTCTCCTCCCAGAAGGCCCCGCCCCTCCCGCCCCCAGCCCCGTTCGGGGGGGCGTGGCCATGCCGGGCGGTGGGGGAGGGGCTGGACTTGGGGCGGGGCTTGGGGAAGGGGAGGGGCCTGGTGGGGAGGGGGCGGGGCCTCGCTCCTCCTCGTCGTCATCCAGGACAATGATTGGCTGAGGGGGCGCGGCCATGGCGGGGAGAGGGGCGTGGTCAGCGGGAGAAATTCCCCTCCCCCACCCCAAAATCACCCCAAATTCCCCTCCCCCACCCCAGATCCCCTCAAATTCCCCTCCCCCACCCCAAAATTCCCCTCCCCCACCCCTCAGAGTTCCCCTCCCCCCCTTCCCAAACTCTGCCCCTCCCCACCCGCACCCCAAAATTCCCCTCCGGCCCCAACTTCCGCCTTCCCCTCCCCCACCCTGCTCCCCTCGCCTCCCCCCGATTCCGCGCCCTCTCCCCCTCCCCCCATCCCTCAGGGCCCCCCCAAAAATCTCAAAAAGCCCCAAAATTGCCCCAAATTCCCCTCAGCCCGCCCGGCCTCCCCTCCCCCTCTCAGCCCCTCCCCGCGCTCCCCCTCTCGCCCCTCCCCCCCCGGGCCCCCCCGCCCCTCCCCCTCTCCCTTCCCGCCGCTTCTCCCCGCTCCGGGACCCCCCGAATTTGCCCAAATTTCGCCGAATTCGCCCCAAACCCCCCCCCGGTTCCCCCACTCCCCTCACGGCTTTGGCCCCGCCCCCTCCCGCGCAGACCCCGCCCTCGGCCACGCCCCCTCGGGCAGGCCCCGCCCCCCCCCGCGCTCACCGGGGCCGCGCGCTCCGCCGGCGCCGCCGCCACCGAGCGGCCGCGGCCGCGCACTGCGCAGGACCGAAGTGCCGCCCCGCGCCGGCCCGGCCGAGCGGGCGCCGCCATGACACCGTACAAAGAAAGGGGCGTGGTCACCCCCGCCTGCCAATCGCGGCGCGCCGCCTCATCCGGGGATCCGCGCCGCCGAGCCGGGCGCCGCCATCTTAACGTGAGGCGCGGCTCGAGACCCCGCCCCTTTAACCCCGTAGTTGCCGCGCGGGTTCCCGAGCTGTTCGCGGCGCTCTCGGTGCCGCTGCCGGAGCAGGGAAGCGGCCGCTGCTGCCGCGCCATGGCCGGGACCGCCGGGGAGGCGGAGCCGCGCAGGGCGGAGGTGGAGCACAAGATGGCGGCGGTACGGCGGCCGCGAGGAGCCCCGCCCCGTAAAGCGAAGGCGCGGCAAGATGGCGGCCGGCAGGTGCCGTACGGGCTCAGCCAATCAGAGCGCGGCGTTCCGCCAGCAGGGCGGCGCCATTACTGTTAAACACGTGACAGCGGCAGCCAATCAGCTCCGTGGAAATGTGAATCTTTATTGGTTGATGC